TAAAATTTGTGAATGACTTTGGAAATATAAAAGGGATATGGTTCTTTTTTGCTCTCCCTTTTGTCTTCTCCAACAGGTCTTCAGAAGTTCAAAAATATGTAGTTGAGAGTTTTTGGAAAATAATGGAGTAGACTACAACTTACTTTCTCCCAGAAATTGGAAACAGATATGGATTGTATCTTAGATTTCCCTTTGATGTCAAGCCTGCTTTTGAATTGTAGAAAAAGAAATTTAAGTTTTGACTGAGAATTATGAAAATAATGAAATCAGTTGCTGAAAAGGGAAATATCAAAGTTTGGAGTTAAACTATTTTATGTGAAAATAAAGATGTATGTTTTAATACATTTTATATACTTTGTTTTCTATGGTATTAAAAAGTGTTAGAATATCTTCTGCTATATGAAAGATTATCTTCAAGGAATATGAAGCATCTAATGTGCCTAGAAATACACTAGATTTCTCCAAGCAAACTGAACTCTTGGTCAGGTTTAATGATGAGATCAAGTTGACATGAGTAAACTCAAAAGAACAATGTTCAGCCCTGGCCGGTTTGGCTCAGCGGTTAGAGCGTCAGCTTGCGGTACAGAGAGACCCGGGTTTGGTTCCCGCTAAGGGCGCGTACCTCGGTTGCAGTTTGTCCCCGGCCCTTGTCGGTCGTGCGGGAGGCAGCCACTCGTGTCCCTTCACATCGATGTTTCTCTCTCTGTGTCCTCTCTCTCCCTCCCACTCTACCTGAACAGAAGATGGAAGGGTGTCCTCGGGTGAGAATTAAAAAGAAAAGAACAGTGTTCTCACCATATTAACATTGATGGATATATTTGCCAACTTAATTCTGTTTTTTGTTTTGGTTTTTTGTTTACAGATTAATGTGAAGGCTGAGTATATCAAGCTGAGTATTCCAATAGATGACAAGTGAGTGGAAACCTACATCAAGGTGTGTTTTAAGTTTTGTTATAACTCATCAGAGTTGTGGTAGAGACAGTGTTTGTTTCAACTAATGGGACATTTTAACAAAAAATTCCATGGTAGACTTCCGGTCAAGATGGCGGCGTAGGTAAACGCGGTATCCCATCCTCCCACAACCACATCAAAGTTACAACTAAACTACAGAACAACCATCATTCAAAACCGCCTGAAATCAAGCTGAATGGAAGTCCTACAACTACGGAATTAAAGCAGCAGCCACATCCAGACTGGTAGGAGGGGCGGCGGCGCTACCGGCTGGTCCCACACCCACGTGTGGCGGATAAAAATCAGGAGGCTCCCGCGGCTCAGAAGGTCCTTCCTGAGGACTGAGGGGTCCCTGTCCCACACCAGGTGCCCTGCTCAGGGTTCCAGTGCCAGGAAGAAAATCCCCATCACTTCTGGCTGGAAAAACCAGCGGAAACTGAGGCTCAGGGAGGCTGAAGCGGCTGGAGCCCCAGGCAGCTCCTTAAAGGGCCCGTGCACGGACTTATCAGACTCTCTCCCTCTAAGCTCGGAGGGGAGGCAGCTCGAGGGGCGCCAGAGACATACAGGGAAGAACTGAGCTGTTTGGCACTGGAGCGAGGGCTGGAGAGAGGGCTTCCTCCAGGACAAACGTGCTGTCAGAGGCCTTTGTTCCTTTGGTGAGCCCTTCCCGGGGCGGGGCGGGGGGGGGGGGCGGCAGACAGTCTCCATATCTGGGACTCCAGCAACCTGGCTCACACTGGTAGCCCTGCCCTGCTGACTCCCTGAGGCCCCACTCCCACCCCACCCCACCCCACCCCACCCCACCCCACTTTCAAGCCCACCCAACTTTCAAGCCCACCCAAGCTGTTGCCACTTGCTTAACCATAGGATTGGCCTGTCTTGGATCCGGCTTCAGGTTTTTCCTAAATTCTTTCAAATGAGCAGCATCTGGTCTCAGCGAGCCCCATACCTCTCATTAAGTAATACACTGAAACAAACACAGGGAGGCAGCCAAAATGAGGAGACAAAGAAACAGGTCCCAAATGAAAGAACAGAACAAAACCCCAATAAAAGAACTAAGCGAAATGGAGATAAGCAACCTAACAGATACTGAGTTCAAAATACTGCTTACAAGGATGCTCAATGAACTTAGTGAGAACCTCAGTGAACTTAGGGAGGGCCTCAAGAGCATTAAAAAGGACCAGTTAGAAATCATGGATACACAGTTAGAATTGAAGGAGGCATTAACTGAAATAAAGAATAATTTACACAGCTTCAATAATAGAGTATGTAAATCCAAGGAGCAAACCATCGATTTGGAACATAAGGAAGCAAAAAATGCCCAATCAGAACAGCAAAAAGAGAAAAGAATCCAAAAATTGAGGATAGTGTAAGGAGCTTCTGGGACAACTTCAAGCGTGCCAACATTCGCATCTTGGGGGTGCCAGAAGGAGAAGAGAGAGAACAAGAAATCGAAAACCTGTTTGAAACAATAATGGCAGAAAACTTTCCTAACTTGGTGAAGGAAACAGACATACAAGTCCAGGAAGCACAGAGAGTCCCAAACAAGATGAACCCCAACAGGCCCACACCAAGACACATCATCATCAAAATGCAAAAGGTTCAAGACAAAGAGAGAATCTTAAAAGCAGCAAGAGAAAGGCAGCTAGTTACCTAAAAGGGAGTTCCCATTAGGCTGTCAGCTGATTTCTCAAAAGAAACTTTGCAGGCCAGAAGGGAGTGGCAAGAAATATTCAGAGTGATGAAAACCAAGAACCTACAACCAAAATTACTCTATCCTGCAAAGCTGTCATTTAGAATCGATGGACATATAAAAACTTTCCCAGACAAGAAAAAGTTAAAGGAATTCATCACTACCAAACCGTTATTATATGAAATGATGAAGGATCTTTTTGAAGAAAAAGATAAAATGTATGAACAGACAAAATGGCAATGAATACATATCTATCAACAATGGAATCTACAAACAAAATGAACATGTAGAACAGAAACATTCTCATAGATACAGAGAACATTTTGTTGGTTGCCAGTTGGGAGGGGGGTTGGGGGAATGGGTGAAAAAGGTGAAGGGATTAAGAAGCACAAATTCATTGCTAGACTGACAAACCTCAAAGGGAAAGGGGTTGGGGGGGGCAGGAAGAAATAAACCAAAGAACTTATATGCATAACCAATGGACACAGACAAAAGTGTGGGAAAAGGTGGGAGGGGGGCGGGAGTGGGGAGGGGGTCAATGGGGGAAAAATGTGGAACATCTGTAATACATTTTACATCCAACAATAAAGATTTGAAAAAGAAAAAAGAAAATTCCATGGTAATCATGCCTATATACAGCAAAATGGTGGCCTAGAGAGAACTATGTCATACAAAATAGTAAAATTGTTTATTATCAAATAATATCAACTATTTAAACTTTATTTACCCAACAAACCCCTGATTAAACAGGCTTTATACTTTAACCTTTGGCCACTGCCCCCTGGAGCTCAGAGCTAGCCAAGGAGATGGGGAAGTGAAAGAATAATAGATTACGGGTCAGACTCTGGGAAATACAGACTACCTCACTTTCCCCTACTATTTTTTCATGTAAATGTACTTTGGAACCTTATACATATATCACTAATTCAAATTATACAGATCCACATATGTTATGTGTTCTGACCTCTAGATTTGTTTTTAATCCCAGCCATCTGAAACAGTGAAAAGGCCAGTGGTTGCAGTTGGAACCCAAGATAGATGGAGCTTGCAAGTTAACAATATTGTGGGGCATCTTATAGTAGGCAAGGAGTTAGTTGAACAATTTTGTAGTTTCCTTTAGACTCTGTGGGCATGGATAAAGGTGTTGAGAAAAGTGGGAGAGGGGCTAAGAGAGAAACAGATTTGTTATTTTTCATATCATTTTATTTTTTAAAAGACTACATGTTTCTTATTCTGCCTGAATGGCAATGTCTCCAAGTTCTTCTCAATCAATATGCAATATTGATTAATCTGAAATGCCTGAATTTTTTGGTATTTTCTGCTTTAGAGGGTTTCATGCCATGTTTTAATCTGAAAGGAGGAAAAATAAGTCTATCATCTTCATTTTGTAGATTAAGAAACTGACCAGAAAGGCCCCCCTAGAGTACAGGTGGACTGGCTTCCAGTTAAGCGTTGTTCCCATGCTACCTCCAGTTATCTGCTGAATGTTGAACATTTAATGCCTGATTGATCCTCAGCCTTGGCACAATAAATCACCCCGCGGAATTTTAAAAGTTACCAATGCCGGAACAGCAGCCCAGACTAACTAAATCAGAAACTTGGTACCCTACTGAGAGTAATTTTTAAAACTGCCCAGGCAGCCCAGCCGGTGTGGCTCAGTGGTGCAGCGTGGACCATGACACGGAGAGGTCGCCAGTTCCATTCCGGGTCAGGGCACTTGCCCAGGTTGTGACCAAATCTCTAGTGGGGGCATGCAGGAGGGGCCAATCGATGTTCTCTCTCATGGATGTTTCAATCTCCCTCTCCCTCTAAAATCATTACATAAGAAGTAAAAAATAAAATAAAAATAACAAAACTGCCCAGGCCAGTCTCATGTACAGCGAAGGTTTGAAAACTACCAACTTAATAAAATTTCCCCTCTACACATGGCATATCTTCTTTTTTGTGTATAACAGTGTGATATACTGCCATTATTTTCACTTTATAGACATAGGTAAATATATATACACACAGAGATATAGCTATGTGCATATACAACATAACACTAATTTTAAAATAATGGCAACGAAAACGCTTAGGTGGGGAAATCCTCCAATCCTGAGCGCCGGTCTAATGATGAAATAGGACTTGACTTGACTCCGCCCCTTGACGTTGCAAGCCTGCTACGCGTGCGTGCAAGGCCCACTCTTCCCAGCGCCCCAGCCTCCGCTAAACCTACGCCTACCGAGGCCCGCTGCTACCTCGCCCCGGGTCCCTTCAGGCCCCGCCCCCAGAACGGCTCCGCCCCACTCTGGCCCCACCCCTCGGGCAGGCCCAACCCTCCTCGCACCCCGCAGCCGCCGTTGGCCAGTCCAAAATGGAGGGCGCACTGCTGGCGCCGCTCGCCCTCCGTCTGCTCTTGCTCGCAGCGCTGCCGGCCGCAGGGTGGCTGAAGACGGGTACCCCTGAGCCGCCGCCGCCCGGAGCTCCGAAGGTAGGACAGGGCGGGCGCGGCTCAGCCGCTCCTTCGTCCGGACTCTGGGGAGGCCAGGGCCGTGGGAACGCGGCGTCGGCATCGACGTATTTCACCTCCGGCCGGCCGGCCTTGGGCTGTGGTCCGGACTCCCAAAGGAGGAGTGGGGAAAGGCACCCAAAGAAATGGGGTTGGGGGCGTGAAGGGGGATAGCGAGAGAGCGAACCGAACTCTTGAATCGTGGTTAAGCTTGGCCACGCGAAGTTTACATATCTTACGCAGTCCGAACTGTGGCCATCCTAATGGGGTGTCGCCGTCAAAAGGACTACGCGATCACAAGTGATCCCAGCCTTTGTAATGGCTCCTCGCTGGGGTAGAGCCAGGTCCTGGGGTAAGAGTGTTCTGTGCTCGGGAAATGTGGAAGTTGCTCAGTAAGAGAGCCAGAGCGATTCCAGGTACTGTTTACCCCGGCCAGTGGCGGGGTGTGGGGGGGGGGGGCGGGGGGACCGCCTACCCCCAGCGTGCTGGTCTCCGGGGTGTGCGCCTGTCGACGATGGGGCCTCAGAAAGAGAGAGGAAGACCCAACATGTTGCCTGACATGTCCCTTTGGCATGTGGAAGACCCAACGTGTACCCTAACATGTCCCTTTGGCAGGTGATGTTAGAGAAGTGGCTCTTGGAGCGTGGTGGGACCAGCTGCACGAACATCCCCAAGGAACCTGGGGGGTGGGACCCAGCAGTGTGTTTCTGTAGGGGATTCTGAGGTCAGCTAAAGTGTGAGGACCTCAGCATCCTTGAGTTAAAGGGTGTTTGGTTCGTACCGTTTTGTTTTGTTTTTTGCTGTAGAGGTGTGCTGACCTAAACCAGTATTTGCCTTTCATCAGTTGAATGTAGGTTGGGAAAAGTTTTCCCAGAATGGAAAGAAACGATATAGGTATATATTTTCTTACTAGTCAAATTTTGAGTACTCTAATTTCAGAGACGACTGACACTGTAAATGTCACTTTTTTACTTTCAATTAATTTTTTAAAGTTATGACATTACTTTCCCTGGGTACAAAAATAATAAGCAATCTCAGGTTCAGTTCTGCGATGGGATTCCAAAAATGCAAGTCCTAAGAACCCCTTACATCTGAAATTGTATGTAGACCACAGTTGCACCTGGTCAAAAAGATGAATATGATGGGCAAGCACCAAGAGACCAAATAAAAATGAAATAATTCCTAAAGTTCAAATAAGACATTGTTTCCCCCCTTTCCAATTTTTAAAGATTCATTATAGTCACTTTTAAACTCAAAAGACATTTGAATCTGTCGCTATAATCTGAGAAAAATTCATTTTGACTTTAAGCACTGTCGGCTCTTAGTTCATCATTTCAGTTCTCTGTTATTACCCCTTTATTCCACTTTTGGAAAGTTCAGGTCTAGACTCAGAATTTCATAGATTTAAATGAATGCTGAGCAGCTAGGAGGAGAATTTCATTCCATGGAAATGCTTATATGGGAAACTGGCACCTGTTGACCTAAACTTTTTCAATGTTTTGTAAAAAGTTTCAAATGTACAGGACATTGGAAAAAATTTTACAGTGGTCACCCATATTACCTTTGTACAGTGATGGTGTATGGTCTGTTCTCTCCATACAGTAGCCACTGGACTACTGTAGTTACTGAGTATTCGAAATGTGGCCGAGACTGAGAAACTGAGTTTTAAAAATTTTAATTTTAATTAATTTAAATGGAAAAAGCCACATGTGGTTAGTGGGTGCCATATCGAGTAGTGAAAACTTGAGCTACCATTAAGGTTTTACTATACCTGCTTTATCACATATCTGCTCATCTCATTTTTGTATCTACCCTGATCTAAATGTAAGAAAACTTGAAGTCAGGAATATTTTCCCACTGACTCAGATTTACTGGATTATAAACATTGTTCTGTTTACATACGCAGTTGTCAGAAGTTTCATAGATTGTAAAAAGAAGAAAAATATTTATAGTACGTTCTTATAATAGTAAAATACTTGGTCACCAAAGAGAAGTTATCCAGAGGACACTTATTTCTTATATGTGTTAGTATTTATTTCAGATATTTCCCTCAGAGTTACTTGTTTATTTTAAACTAGGTATTAATTACAATGGTACCTTAGGAAGCTGTTGTGTCCCTGAGGGGCATCTTGTGAATGCAGAAATTAGAGGAAGAGTTCAAAATGGGTGAGGAGAAATTTCAATTCTGTCAACCACTTTCTAAGTATGTGCTACCTTGGATGGTAAATCTGAACTTCCAGTTCATTTTGGTTCTCAGGAAGAATAACAAATGAATTTAAGGTCTGGAGACAGTAAGGGATTAGAGACTCCTGAAATGAAGTCATTCAGAAGGACCCAAAAAATTGAACTTGGTTCTTTGGAAAATGTAGTATGCTAGTGTCTGTTGTCTTATAAACCTCATATTTTATGAGGTAAATGATATGTAAGTGCAGTAAATTATTAACAGTGTATATATTCACTGCTTAAAGAAGCTATAAAACATAGTTTCTATAGTTTCTTAGACTATCACCATTGGAGGGTTATCTCTGGGCTGTAAGAACAATAATCTCCACTTAACGGATCCTCTAGTTTGAAAACAAGTTTTTGGCTGGAATTTGTATGTATACAAAATAATATAGACACCAACTTGAAGGCTTATTGAATGTTGGTTTGTCATAGAGGTGAGTATATTGATTCTAGCTTAATTCTAGATTAGGGTGGGTTAGGAGAAAGCCTGGCTGATTCTGAGCAGTCACTAATGCAAAAGCTTCCTAGGCTCCTATGGGAGTTGGGACATGTACCAAAAGCCAGCCTTGGAGTATGGTATGGACCTTACATGTTAGAATCCTTTTCCACTATTGGAATCAGTTCAACCTCATATAATCACTTCAGTCTTATTCTCTCATTTGTTGGAAATACAGAAAGTATTGGGGACAGCCTGGCTGTTGTGGCTTGGTGGATTGAGTGTGGTCCCATGGACTTAGAGGTCCTGGTTCAATTTCCAGTCATGGTACATGCCCAGGTTGCAGGCTCAATCCCCAGTAGGTGGCGTGCAGGAAGCAGCCAATTGATGTTTCTCGTGCATCGATGTTTCTATCTTTCTCTCCCTTCCTCTGTCTCTAAAAAAACCCATAAAAATGCCCTGGCTGGTTTGGCTCAGTGGTACAATGTCAGCCTGCGGACCAATGAGTTGCAGGTTTAATTCCGGCCATGGGCATGTACCTTGGTTGTGGTTTGTCCCCAGCCCTGGTTGGGGTTGTACAGGAGGCAACCAGTCAGTGTGTCCCTCTCATGTTGATGTTCCTCTCTCTCTCCCTTTCTCTCCCTCCCACTCTGTCTGAAGATAAAGAAAATCATCCTCGGGTGAGGATTATTAAAAATAATAATTTAAAAATCCATAAAAACATTAAAAAATATATAGAGGGAGCAATTAACTGAAAACTGCCTGAAGACTGAAGAAAAGCCTTATAATCAAGGATTTACAAAAGAAGCCAAATCGAGACTGGTAGGAAGGGTGGAGACATGATAAGGGCTGGCCCTGCTCCCACAGAATGTGGCTGAGATCATGGAAGGATATCTCAGTTGCCAAGGTTTCCCCTAAGAAGAGTGGGGTCTCAAACCCAAGCCAGGCTGCCCAGCCCAGCGCACCACAGCCAGGAAGAAGCACCCATGTAACATGTAGCTGTGAAATCAGCAGGCTTTCTATCCAACATGGAGAGATGGGAGCCTGCTAGAGACACAGGGTCCCTCTTAAAGGGCCAGTGCACAAAATCTCACCCACAACCACTCACCCTGGGCTCTGGTTGAGGGAGCACTGAGTGACCTAGAGTTGTGTGAGGAGAGACTAGGGTTTGTGGCTCTAGGAGAGAGCTGAAGGGACAGCCACCAGCATCTCTGTGTTGAGTCACTCTCCCACAACTCAGATGTCATCTTTCTTGAGTAGAATACCCCCTTCCATAAGCAATAGCCCCACCCTATGGACTCCCTGTCACCACACCTTGTAAGCTTGAGCCCTGCTGAGGTATCTACTACCTGGGTGGTGGTATAGACATCTGAACAGACTCAGAGGGTGCCAGTGACTAAGTGGTATGGATTTGGGGTGTGGGCCATTCCACTTTCCAGCAAACCTGACTGACACCTTCTTCTCACCACTAGCCCCACTCTGTGGGCTCGTAGTCCCACCCTCCCAATTCCTGGTAGATCCATGCTGCCATTGTCGGGACAGAATCCAGGACAGACTGAACCATGTGGCACTGAGATGGGGGAAGTCACTCACGCCACATTTCCCCAAGCCTGAGTGGCACCGCCCCCTCACAAAAGATCCACTAGCCCTATCCTCCTAATTCCTGGTGGTTCTACCCTGCTCAGATCTGGCTCCTGGCAGAATCTGGGACAGACTGAATTGTGTGACTCTAGGACGGGGGCCATTTTCTCTCACATGCCTGACCAGTGCAGAGTCCTCTTTTCACACAGCCAAATCTTGGTCTATTTGGGCCTGATAAACTTTGCTTGCCTCACCCTAACAACTCCACGAGACCCCCCCACTCACCATAAAGGTGTGCAAGCACCCAGCTGATGGCAACTAGACTTGGTGTGCCCTGGGACATTTGCTGAGTAGCCTCAGACCCAGCACTGGCACTAAGTTCTAACCTTTATATATCTGGTGAACACCAGTCCCACCTACCTGGTGACTCACTGAGAACCTATCTCAGGCAACTTGAGTACCACCAGAGGTTCTTTCAGTGACAACCTCATAGGCAGCCAGCAGGTGGGGGAAGGTAGAAGTGGATCTTAGGGGTCCTTGGACTTGAGCTAACCTGCCCCAGGCCTAGTGCTGGTAAAAGCCAGCCTTGGTGGGCAGCTTGGTCCCTTCACACCCAAGCCCAGCAGAGGCAGCCAGAAACGGTGGACCTCTTTGTATCTCCAAACAGTTTGCCCAGGGCCAGTCACGGGCAGCTTCTGTCATTGGCCTATACCAGAATCCTTCCTAGGAGACACCAGGAGCAACATACCCAGTCAGTGGACAGCTTCAGACATCACAGCAGGATCCAGTTAGCTTTATAAGCAGTATATCCAAAGGGAGACCTTGGCAGGCACCAGATACTGCTGAGGCGAATTTTGCTTTGTGTGGTCAGCACCCGCATAGCAGTCCATACACTGTGGTCAGGGTTCATCCTCACAGTCACCCAGCCTTAGGGGTTGGCCCTCATGCATGAATGGGGCAATAGTAATCAAGACTCAGTTACAACAGGATGGCACATATAACCCACACAGGGACATTGCTGGAGCACTCAGCTCAGGTGATCAAGGAGGCTGTGCCACTGGCTCCCATAGGACACCTATTACATGAGGCCACCCTGCCACCAAGACTGGAAGTCAGCACATCTACCTAATACATAGAAATAAACACAAAGAGGCAGCCAAAATGGAGAGATAAAAAAACATGCCCCAAATGAAAGAAAAGGCGAAACCTCCAGAAAAAGAGCTAAGTGAAATGAAGGCAAGCAATTTATCACATATAAAGTAAAAAAAAAAAAAATGGTTATAACTTAGTGAGAACTACAACAGCATGAAAAATGACATAGAAATCATACAAAAAAGACCAGTCAGAAATGAATACAGTATCTGAAATGAAGACTACACTAAAAGGAATAAACAGTAGAGTTTAAGGGACCTTTGTGACAACATGAAGAGTAACAACATTCACTTCATAGAGGTAACAGAAGAAGAGAGAAAGCAAGGGAAGCTTCCCTAACCTGGTGAAGGAAGAAGACACCCAAGTCCAGGAAGTGCAGAGTCCTGAACAAGTTGAACCCAAAGAAAACCACATCAAGACATATCATTAAAATGTCAAATACTGAGGACAAAGAGAAAAATTTTAAAGCAGCAAGAGCAAGACAGTTATCTCTACAAGGGGGGAGCAAACCAGATCTAGCAATACATTATAAAGGTCATACACTATGATCAAGTGTGATTTATTCTACCGGTGCCGGGTTAGTACAATATCCCCAAATTAGCAAATGTGATATATCACTTTAATTAAATGAAGGCTAAAGATCATGGTCATATCAGTAGATGCAGAAAAAGCATTTGATAAACTCCAGCACCCGTTTATGACAAAAACTATCAGCAGAGTGAGAATAGAGGAAATATACTTCAATGTAATAAAGACCATATATCAAAAACCCACAGCCAACATCATACTTGATGAGCAAAAAAACTAAAAGCACTTCCCTTAAGATCAGGAATAAGACAGGGATGTCTGCTTTCATTCCTCTTATTCAACAGTACTAAAAGTCCTAGCCATAGAAGAAAAAATAAAAGTCATCCAAGTCTAAAAGGAAGGACATCAACTATTATTTGCAGATGACATGATACTATATATGGAGAACCTTAAGGATTACACCAAAAAACTGCTAGAACTGATAAATGAACTTAGTAAAGTACCAGGATACAAAATAAATATCCAGGCATCAGTTGCATTTTTATACACCAATAATGAAATTTCAGAAGGGGAGACTAAGAAAACAATCCTATTTACAGTTGCATCAGAAAATGAAATACCTAGGACTAAATTTAACCAAGGTTGTAAAAGACCTGTGCTCGGAAAATGATAAGACACTGAAGAAAGACATTGAAGAAGATACAAATAAGTGGACACATATATCATGTTCATGGGTAGAAAGACTTAATGTCATTAAAATATCTACTCAAAGCAATCTATAGACTCAGTGCAATTTCTATCAAGATACCAATGGTGTATTTCACAGAACTAAAACAAATATTCCAAAAATTTATATGGACCCACAAAATAACCTGAATAGCTACAGCAATCTTGAGAAAGAAGAACAAAGTTAGGAATCACACTACGTGGTATCAAACTATACTGCAAGGTCATAGCTATCAAAACATCATGGTACTGGCATAAAAACATAGATCAAGGGAACAGAATAGAGAGCCCAGAAATAAAATCATGCCTTTATGGTCAGTTAATATTTGACAAAAGAGGCAAGAACATGCAATGGCATAAATATTGTCTATTCAATAAACAGTGCTGGGAAAGTTGGACAGATGCAGAATGAAACTAACCACCTTTTTACACAATACAAAGTGTTTTAAAGAATTAAATGTTAGAATTAAAACCATGAAAAATTTTTGTTTGTTTTTATCCGCACCTAAGGACATTTTTCGATAGTTTGTTCAGATAGAGTGGGAAGGAGAGAGAGGAAGAGAGAGAGAGGAACATTGACGTGAAAGGGACACATTGAGTGGTTGCCACCCATACGACCCAACCAGGGCCAGGGACAAACTGCAACCAAGGTAGTGCTCTTAGTGGGAACCAAACCCGGGTCTCTCCAGACCGCAGGCCAATGCTCTATAACCACTGAGCAAAACCGGCCAAGGCAAAACTATGAAAATCTTAAAAGAAAATATAGGCAGTAAAATCTCAGACATTTATGTACCAATATTTTTTCTGATGTATCTCCTTGGGCAAGGGGAAAAAAAGAAAAAATAAACAAATGAGACTACATCAAACTAAAAAGTTTTTACACAACAGAGGAAACCATCAACAAAATGAAAAGACAATCCACTAAATGGGAGAACATACTCATCAATGATACTTCTGATAAGGGGTTAGTATCCAGAATTTATAAGAACTTATATAACTCTGCTCTGGCTGGTGTTAGAGTGTCAGCCCATAAACCAAAGGGGTATGGGTTTGATTCCTGGTGAAGGTCACCTACCTGGGTTGCAGGTCCAATCTCCAGCCCCGGTGTACGTGCAGGAAGCAACCAATCGATGTGTCTCTCTCACATTGATGTTTCTCTTTCTTCCTTTCTCTCCCTCTCCCTCTCCTCCACTCTCTCTGAAAAACTCAATGGGAAAAAAATGTCCTCAAGGGAGGATTAAAAAAAAAACTTACACAATTCAACAACAACAAAAATCTAATTAAGAAATGGGTATAAGATCTGAATAGAAACTTCTCCAAAGAGGATATACAAATGGCCAGTAGACATATGAAAACATCCTCAACGTCACTAATCATCAGAAAAATATAAATTGAAATCACAATGAGGTATTACCTCACACCTGTCGGAGTGAGTATCATCCATAAATCAACAAACAACAAGTGTTGGTGAGAATGTGGAGAATAGGACATTTCCATGCTCTGTTAATGGGAATGCGGATTGGTATGGAAAGCAGTATGGAACTACCTCAAAAAATTAAAAACAGAACTGCCTAATAACCCAGCTTCCACTTTTGGGAATATATCTGAAGAAACACAAAACACTATTTTGAAAGAATACATGAACCCCTAAGTTCATTGCAGTGTTATTAACAACAGTCAAGATTTGGAAGCAGCCCAAGTGCCCCTCAGCAGATAAGTGGATAAAAAAGCTGTGTTATAGCCTAGCTGGTGTGGCTCAGTAGTTGAGCGTCGACCCACGCACCAAGAGGTTGCTGGTTCGATTCCCATTCAGGGCACATGCCCAGGTTGTGGGCCCTATCCTCAGTGAGGAGCATGCAGGAGGTGGCCAATCGATGTTCTCTCTCATCAGTATTTCCTTCTCTCCCTCTCCCTTCCTCTCTCAAATCAATAAAGGGAAAAAAATTTTTTTAAAGCTGTGGTACATTTACACAATGGAATACTACTCAGCTGTAAAAAAAGAAGGAAATCTTACTTTTTGTGACAGCATAGATGGACCTGGAGAGTATTATGCTTAGTGACATAAGCCTGTCAGAGAAAGACAAATACCATATGCTTTCACTTATATATGGAATGTAATGAACAAAATTAACAAAACAGAAACACGTGTGTATATATACAGAAAACACACTGACTGCTGTCAGAGGGGAGGCGGTAGAGGCAGGGTGAAAAAGGTGAAGGGATTAAGGGGAAAAAAAAACACCTCATAGACACAGACAACTATATGGTGATTATCAGAAGGAAAGGGGGTGGGGGGATGTAGAGAAGGGTCAAGGGGGAATTGTATACTTGAAATCTGTATAATTTTATTAACCAATGTCACCCCAATAAATTCAGTAAAAATAGAAATATTTTAAAATGTTATTTTATGAAGAAATAAAAAGGCCAGGTATAAGATTGAAAGAGAAAATAAAGCCCAGCTGATGTGGCTCAATGGTTGAGCATCGACCCTGCACCAAGTGGTTGCCAGTTCAATTCACAGTCAGGGCACATGCCCAGGTTGTGGGCCAAATCTCCAGTGGGGGGCATGCAGGAGGCGGCCAATCGATGTTTTCTTGAAACATCAATTGATGATTGATGTTTCTATCTTTCTCTCTCTCTAAAATCAATAAAGAAAATAAAAACTGCTTTTAAAATAATGAAAAATAAAAAAGATTATGAAAAATTGGAGTTGTAAGTAAAGCAATAAAAAAGGCCATAAAATGAAAATGATGTTTCTACAAATGTTCTTTTAATGTTATCGTAAGTCATTGTGCCATAAATAAAATTGAGGGGGAAAAAAGAACTAAGGTAATTTCAGTTTGCGAAATGCACATCTATCCAATTTATATAATATTTGTTTTACAGGACAGCATCCGAATTAATGTAACTATTCCAAAAGATGATGGGGAGATATATGAAGAACAGGTTTGTCTCTTGATTGTTTTTAATATATCACTTAGCTAAACATTTAGCAGCCTATTTTAATTTAGTTAGATAATGTATTTTTGATATGAAGACTTCTCTTCAAGTATAAACCATAATGTATATACTGTTTTATTTTAAGGTTATTCTTAACATAACCTATGAGAGCGGACAGTTATATGTAAATGACTTCCCTGTAAATAGTGGTGTAACCCGAATAACCTGTCAGACTTTGATAGGTGAGTACTACTTAATTATTTCTATGATTTTTCTGTTCTTAATACTAAATTAGTAAAATAGTTCTTTGATATTATATATTTTTATTTTATAATAATAATGTACATCATTACTAGTTTGTTTAACATTTTGTTTCCAGTTTACATTGGTTATTTCTGGCATTTCACATTTTTTTCTTTCATGAGATTGGCATTGATGGAATTGCACTTGTAGTAGGTTGATAGCGTCTAAAATGTGCGTAGTGGTAGTAAATGGAGATTTACAAGCAAGAGGCAAAATCCTGGCAAAGTGCTTTTTTAACAGTTGTGAAAGACAAGAATGAATTTTCTGATTCTCTAGTTTTCACTTTCTTCTACCCCTATGCCTGTATAATGTTTTTCTTTTTAACCCTTTAAAATCCTGAGTTGTTTAAAGACAAGCAAATTTGTTACATTGGAATTTACCATATTATTTTAATGAAATAAAGAATATGGGAAATATGTATAGTACCTGTTTTAAGGTAGGCATTTAAGACAGTAAATTTTTCTCTAAACACTTATATCCTATACTTGTTAACTAAATTTTTATTATCATTTAGTGCATAGTGTTTTCTAATTATTTGTTGTGCTATTTTCTTGTTCTGTGAATCATTTAGAGTAGATTGTTTGATTTCCAAATACTTGGGGTTATTTTCATCACTCTCCTTTGTCTTACTAGTTTTTATATTATTTCATTGTTCTTTTAATGGTCACCCTTGAGAACAATAAAGTAATATTTATTATTTCCCAAACAATGCAAGAACTTTAGATTACTTAAACTTCATTTTGTGGTGTTATCGTCATGCATTTTAATTTGGTGTTCTTACCACTATTCAACGTCATTACTCTTACTGTTTTCCAGTACTCATTTGTATTTAAAACCCTCATGGTTACCCTTTCCATTGCTCGTTCCTTCCTGAATCTCTGTGTTCTCCTCTGGGGTCATTTTCCCTTGGCCTAAAGAATTCTCCTTACTATTTTTTTTTTTTTTTTTTTTTTTAGTGCAGATTTGTTAGCAATGAATTATGTAAGCTTTTGTTTGTCTGAAAACATCTTTACTTTGCCCTTTGCCCTTTCTTTTAGGAGGATATTTTTACTGGATATGGAAGCATAGTTTAGCACATCAAAGACTAATTTCCATTGTCATCTTACTTCTATAGTTTCTGCTGAGAATCAGTGTCAGTGTCATTGCTCCAGTGAGAATAATAATTATTTTTCTTTGTGTTTTTTATTTTTCTGATTGCTTTTAAGATTTTTTTCTTTGTCTTTGATTTTGAAGAGATATCAAGTCACATCGATAGTTATACTGTGATGTGATTTGATGTCTTCTGTGAGTTTGGGGAAGTTTTAGACCATTATCTTGTCAATGATAATGAAACAACAAAGTCAAGGAGGAACTGTTTTGTGAAGACTTAGATTGAGCTAAAAACCAGGTTACTTGATTCTCAATAGTAATATCTGTACCTATTTAAAAAAATTATAAAAGTTGATCTATACTTAGAGATTTGGGTTTATTAAGATTGAGGTAAGGCTCTGTTATCTATACTGTTCCTAGGTGTTTCTGATGCATAGTTAGAATTTAGAACTAGACCAGGTATTTGAACATTGATATTTACTTTAAATTACTTGTTTATAATTGCAGGTGGAGTCACTGTTTAACAAAAGCTATAGAACAGTAAGCTTGATGCATGCTCCTGAGGAATTCAGCCTAGTTTAGGAGGCAGGTGAAGAGCTACCATTAATGCTTTAAAAATCAGAAAAGGCATGAACTAAGCATTATAGGGATATGGTAGCTAGAACTACCTAAGTTGGTGTTTATTTTTTAAATGTCTTTGGTGGGAGTGAGTAGTAGAACATTCCAGATAAAGGGAATAGCCCTATGAAGGCACGGGATCAATGTAAACCACCGGGTCTGCATTAGAATATCCATCTGGGTTGCGTTTTGGCAAGTAATCCTCAGACGATAATATTTGGGTGACAGAAACTAAATGTTTTGTTGCAGCAGTTTCATTGGTATCTTTTTTTTTTTTTTTTTTGTGGTACATGCCCCTAGTGGGAACCAAACCCAGGACTCTTTGGTCCACAGGCCAACACTCAACCGCTGAGCCAAATTGGCCAGGGCTGGTATCTTGATTTATCCTTTTCTGTGGCACTTTCTGCCTTAATAAGGTAGCCACGAGCTCTGTAACCCAGCTGCAACTGCCACACGCCATCTCCACATGGGCAGGATGGGGAGTTCTGAGCTAGAAAGGAACACGGCCAGTAGCTAATTTTACCCTGTCATCCGTGAGTAGGGAGTAATTACAGGGCTTTCCTGCTTTCTTCCCATTCCTGCCCTCTCCAACAGTAACAAGTCACTTATTGGGGAAAGGATTGAGCAAAAGTCTCAATTGTCATTGTTTGGGTTCCGTCCATGGATTTTGTGAATGAATGAATGAATGAATGAATGAATGAATGAATGAATGAACGTACTTACTTTGCTAAAACATGGCATGTACAGTGTCTTCTGACATGCTTTGTAAATAATTATGCCATGTTGGTTAGGAAAGATGTTGCTAGTGTGGTGTTTCCTGCAAAATCTACAGACCATCAAGCAGTTTTCCCTTTCAAATGCCTGTAAGCATTGTAATGATTCATCAAGTCCTCTTTGTTTTCATAAATCTGAAATATCAGTGAGGTCAGAGATGGAGAGCGTAAGAAATTGGTTTACAACTGTCTGGTTTCATATACATGTCATAAATAATCAAATTTACTAACAGATTTGAAGACATTTTTTGTTCAAAGCTGTCACTACTTTTTTTTTAATATAGTGAAGAATGAAAATCTAGAAAATTTGAAGGAAAAAGAATATTTTGGAATTGTCAGTGTAAGGATTTTAGTTCGTGAGTGGCCTATGACATCTGGTTCCAGTTTGCAACTAATTGTCATTCAAGAAGAGGTAGTAGAGATTGATGGAAAACAAGTAAGATAATATGCTTATTTGGGAGTTAAATTATAATAAAGATTTGTACGAGTTATTATGCATGTGTTCAGTTATTTTATTAATTATTTCTGACTTCATAGGAAGAAGGATACCCTAATGTTGCCTATACCCAGTCATTTATCATTTATTTATTTTAGCTTTTACTTACTTAGCATTTTGAAATCTTAATTAAAAAAAAATTCTATTCATACATATTTGTCACTTTATTATTTATTTATTTTGTAAATATGTTTTATTGATTTTTTAGAGAGAGAGAGGAAAGGAGAGAGAGAGAGAGAAACATCGATGTGAGAGAGAAGCATTGATCAGCTGCTTCCTGCACACCCCCTACTGGGGATCAAGCCTTAAACCCTGGCATGGGAGGACGTTCACAGCACTGAGCCACACTGGCCCCGCTGTTTATGTCACTTTAAACACATTATAAACACCATTAAACAGCAAGTATGTGCAGAGTTTGAATTTGGTTTGGAACGCTGCTACCATTTTCTCTGGCTAAGTCTCTCTAAGTAAATTAAGTAGAACTGAAAGTAAGCTTGTAATAGTGAGTGCTAAAGTATAGAGGAATATGATTAAAGTTGCTAATTAAATGCTTCAGAGTAGGGGCAATAAAAAGGAATTGTGTGGATATAACAAGTTTTTAATGGAAATCAGGGGGAAAATTTCAGTTTGAAATTCTTATGGGGTTGTACCATTGTTTAAAATAAAGAGTAATTGCTGTTGTTTTTTTTAATAGGCTCAACAGAAGGATATTACCGAAATTAATATTTTAGTTAAGAACCAGGGAGTACTCAGACATTCAAACTATACACTACCTTTGGAAAAAAGCATGCTGTACTCCATTTCCCGAGATGATGATGTTTTATTTACCCTTCCCAACCTCTCCAAAAAAGGTACTTTAAAAGACCGTTATTTAAAGTATTAAGGAAATTATTTCTTTAGTTGGTAGCTTTTAATCATAGTTAATATGTTTAGAATAAGCTTCTTGCAAAAATGCTTTATAGCATGTATTTAAAATTTTTTTTTCTTTTTTTTTTTTTAATCCTCACCCGAGGACATTTTTCCATTTTTTGTTCAGGTAGAGTGGGAGGGAGAGAGAGAACCAGAGAGAGAGAGAGAGAAACATCGATGTGAAAGGAACACATCGAATGGCTGCCACCCGCACGACTGACCAGAGCCGGGGACAAACTGCAACCGAGGTACATGCCCTTAGCGGGAACCGAACCCGGGTCTCTCAGGACCGCAGGCCGATGCTTTAACCGCTGAGCCAAACTGGCCAGGGCAAATTTTTTTTTCTTTATTGATTTTTAGAGAGAGAGGAAGGGAGAGGGAGAGAGAGAAATATCTATGAGAGAGAACATCGATCGGCCGCCTCCTGCATGCCCCTCACTGGGGATTGGGCCCACAACCTGGGCATGTGCCATGACCGGGAATCAAACCGGCGACCTCTTGGTGCATGGGTTGACGCTCAACCACTGAGCCACACCGGCTGGGCTATAGCATGTATTTATATATCCATTTGAGGACTTTGGGAGTTTATTTTAAGTCTTAATAAAATATTATCAATACTGATTGCATAGGGACATTTTGCTGTAATTGTCTACTTTTACTCTGGGTAATCATCATAAATATGTAGTAAGATTATCATTCATTTAGGTTCATTTAAAGGAAGAAATATTCATGTTTTCCAATAAAGCAAAACTTTAAAAAATTAGACTTTTTCCTTCTCTTCCCCTTTGGACCTTGAGTCAAATTGGCCTTGGGCTCAAGTTCCTGACCATCCAGGGAAAAGGAGGGGACCCCAAATTTTCAGGTGGGCATGTCATTGCTTCCCAGCTTCCTCCCTGCTCATGCAACACTCTTGGGCACTTTCACTGTTAACTGGCCTCAAACCACAGCAACCACCAGCCTCACCCCCCTCCGCCCTCCACTCGTCACCATGGAGCTGGCTGGGGGCCAGTGATACCAAGGGAGGGGAACAGAACATGAAAACCAAAATGGGCACAAACTCCTAAGTCCATCCTCCAAAAAACACACACACCCCAACATCTAACACATCTATGCCCATCTAAACACACACACATAAACATACACAACACACACACAAACACCCCCACACACACCAAACACACACATACAACAAACACAACATACCCATACACAATACACACACCACACACAACACACACACACACACACTCACACACCCTCACACACACACAGGATTGATGGAACAAGGAGAATGAATAGATTAGACCGCATTTCATCCCAAAATCTCTAGAAGAGGTTCTCATGTTCCCGGCTCCCCTCCCAAAAGAAATAAAAAAAAAAAATTAGGCTTTTTATGTAACAGAATCATAACTGCTATAGTTTTAGTTTATGACACCTTTCTGGCATTTAAATCTGAGTAATCAAATGTGTTTATTTTTTTTCTCCCACGGGAAGATTTATGTTCCTGCTATCTAATTGTTATTGGCATAGCAATCTCTAGGGCTGGTGGGAGACACACCCCTCCTGCACCTAGCATTTTGGTAACTTGGCTCTTCCTCCGCAGTAGAAAGTGTTAGTTCACTACAGACCACCAGCCAATATCTTGTCAGGAATGTGGAAACCACTGTAGATGAAGACGCTTTACCTGGCAAATTACCTGAAACTCCTCTCAGAGCAGAGACTCCATCTTCCTATAAGGTAAATAAGGTATTTTGGATTATCTTTATATTGTAAACATTTATAGTTATTAAACAAAAGAGATAACTAGCATTTAAAATGAGATGGAAACCAGGTGGATTGGAACCACGGGACATGTTAAAAGTGAACTTATGACTGTGTTAATGTGAGATATTTAGGTATTTCTGTTTTACAAGTTTCACTTGGTAATAATATAGCCAGATAATGATTATCAAAGCACTGGATTTCGTTTTGTTTGGGATTTTCAGTTCCTGAGTCTTCCTCACATCCCCATTTGTGTTTATTTTATGACTCCTATTGTGCGGACACACATGCATGGTGCCCTCAGGATCTTATGTAGTAACTAAGCACACTTGGGTAGGAGTGTACTTTCTAGAGTCACACTGCCTGGGTTTGAATTCTGGTTCTGCCTGCCACTAACTAGTTGTGTGATCTTGGACAAGTTCCTGGTCTCTATTTCTTCATCTGTAAAGTGGTGCCTGTATAAGGATTAATAAATGGGTACAACTGTAAATATGCATTGGCACCTACTAAGTACTGACATTTTACGAATGACATTCTACTGCTGATTGGGAAATATTCAGGGTTCAAAGGGAGTGTGCTGATATCTCCATATATATAGCTACGCCCTTTACTCAAAATCATTTACAGTTAAATGAGCAGGGTCTGTGGTTAGTCTCAGGATTCCAGAGATGATTACTGGCAGTAGTTCTCGCCAGACATTGGAATTTCTTATTTGGGGTTGCTGGGAAAAGCCAGATCACTTTTTGCTGCCTGAACTCTAGTGCCCTCACGCTGCCTACCCTCCCTTCCCTCTGACTGAGCTAGCCCAAGAACAGACTGCCCAGACTAGAGTGCTGTCTTCGCTCACGCTCTAATATAGCAACGTGTTTTCACACAACCAATTCCCCGTGTGTTCCAAGAGTTAATACTGTGATTCTCTCTTCTTTTCTTTTCCTCCAACTGTTGAAAACACATAGTTGACTCCAGTCCATGTTGTGTAAACTAACCTAACCTCTTGTCAATTAGCAATTATTTTCACTTGGTGTATAGTTAGACAATAGTATGTATAATTGTAAAGGATAGTAATATTTCTGTGTCTGTGTTAGAACATTAATTTGTCTTTTGTTAATCTTCACCTAAGGATATTTTTTCCATTGATATTTAGAGAGAGTGGAAAGGAGGGGGAGAGGGGGTGAGAGAGAGAGAAAGAAACATTGATGTGTAAGAGACACAACAGTTGGTTGCCTCTCACAAGGTCCCCCACCAGGGCCAGGATCAAACATGCAACCCAGGTACATGCCCTGGACCAGGAATCCAACCTAAGAACCATTGGTGCATGGGTCAGTGTTCTGACCTCTGAGCCACAACGACCAGGGCATTAGAACAGTAATTTTTTTAAATGGTAAATGAATTTATTGAGGCACATTTTGAAATGAATTGCACTCATTCAACAAACAGGTAAGGCCCTGGCCGATTTGGCTCAGCGGTTAGAGTGTCGGCCTGCGGTCCAGAGAGACCTGGGTTTGGTTCCCGCTAAGGGCATGTACCTCGGTTGCGTTTGTCCCCGGCCCTGGTTGGTTGTGTAGGTGGCAACCACTTGATGTGTCCCTTTCATGTTGATGTTTCTCTCTCTCTCTTCCTCTCTCTCCCTTCCACTCTATCGGAACAAAAAATGGAAAAATGTCCTCTGGTGAGGATAAAAAAACAAAAACAAAAAAAATAAAATAAAACAAACAGGTAATTTGACAAGTGTAGACATCCATGTAACCACTACTACAATCAAGATATAGAATGTTATCACCCCAAAACTAGAATATAGTCCTGGCCAATTTGGTTCAGCAGTTAGAGAGCTGGCCCAACGACCAAAGAGTTGTGGATTCAATTCCCAGTCAAGGGCATGTACCTCAGTTGTGGATTCGATCTCTGGCCCCCATAAGGGTCATGTGGGAGGCAACCAATCTATGTGTCTCTCTCACATCGATATTTCTCTCCCTCCCTCCCTCCTTCCCTCCCTCCCTCCCTCACACTTGTCTAAAAAGTTAATGGAAAAATATCCTCTGCTGAGCATTAAAAACAAAAACAAAGCTAGAATATAATTTTTAGTTTCTTAGAGCTCAAAAGAAATTTGCTTATCTAATTGAAACTTCTTTTTTTAGGTGATGTGTCAATGGATGGAAAAGTTCAGAAAAGATCTGTGTAGGCTCTGGAACAGTATTTTCCCAGTGTTCTTTATGTTTTTGAATGTCATGGTGGTTGGAATCATAGGAGCAGCTGTGGTAATAACTGTCTTGAAGGTGCTTTTCCCTGTTTGTGAATACAAGTAAGTATTTTCCACTTTTTTATTTTATTTTGTTTATTAATTTATTTTTGTTACAGATGTTTCTTCTTTTTTCCCCACTGACACCCTCCTCCCCATCCCCCCCCACCTCGTCCCCAGCTTTGTTGTCCATGTCCATCGGTTATGGGTACATGCATATAAGTTCTGTGGTTTATCTCTCCCCTCCCCCTACCCCTTCTTCTGAGGGTTGTCAGTCTGTAGCCTACTTCCACGTCTCTGGGTATACTGTTCCTCAGACTGTTATGTTAATTATATTCCACAAATGAGTGAGATCATATGATATTTGTCTTTCTCTGTTTGGCTTGTTTCGCTTAGGATAATACTCTCCAGGTCTCTCCATGTTGCCTCAAAGGATAGATATTTCTTTCTTACAGCTGCATAGTACTCCATTGTGTATATGTACCACTGCTTTTTTATCCATTCATCTACTGATGGACACTTGGGCTGTTTCCAGATCTTAGCTATTGTAAATAGTGCTGCTATGAACATGGGGATACATATATTCTTTCTGATTGGTGTTTCAGGCTTCTTAGGGTATATTCCTAGAAGTGGGATCACTAGATCAAATGGCAATTCAGTTTTTAATTTTTTGAGGTAACACCATAGTGTTTTCCATAGTGGCTGCACCAGTCTGCATTCCCACCAGCAGTATACTAGAGTCCCCTTTTCTCCACAACCTCGCCAACACTTGTTACTTGATTTGTTGATGGCGGCTGTTCTGACAGGTGTGAGGTGATACCTCATTGTTTTAATTTGCATCTCTCTGATGATTAGTGATGTTGAGCATTCTTCATATATATCTTAGCCATTTGTATGTCCTGTTTGGAGAGGTATCTATTTAGCTTCTCTGCCCATTTTTTAATTGGGTTCTTAGTCTTCCTTTTGTGGAGTTGTATGAGCACTCTATATATATTGGAAATTAACCCCTTATCTGATATATCATTGGCAGGTATGCTCTCCCATACAGTGGGTTGCCTTCCCATTTTTTTTTATCCTCACCTGAGGACATTTTTTGACATTTTGTTCAGATAGAGTAGGAGGGAGAGAGAGAAACATCGATGTGAAAGGGACACATCGAGTGGTTGCCACCCGCACGACCCAACCAGGGCCGGGAACAAACTGCAACTGAGGCATGCACCCTCAGTGGAAATTGAACCTGGGTCTCTTTGGACCAAAGGCTGACTCTCTAACCTCTGAGCCAAACTGGCTAGGGCTACCTTTCCATTTTGATGGTGGTTTCTTTTGCTGTACAGAAGCTTTTGAGTTTGATGTAGTCGCATGTGTTCATTTTTTCCTTTGTTTCTGTTGCCTTAGGTGATGTATCAGTGAAAATTCTGCTGCATATGATGTCCAAAATTTTGTTGCCTACATTTTCTTCTAGGATTTTTTTGGATTCACAAGTCACATTTAAGTCTTTTATCCATTTTGAGTTTATTTTTGTGTATGGTGTAAGTTGATGATCTAGTTTCATTTTTTTGCATGTAGCTGTCCAATTTTTCCAGTACCATTTATTAAAGAGGCTGTCTTTACTCCACTGTATGCTCTTGCCACCTTTGTCAAATATTAATTGAGCGTATTGCCTTGGGTCCATTTCTGGGTTTTCAGTTCTGTTCCACTGGTCTATATGCCTGTTCTTGTGCCAGTACCAGGCTGTTTTGGTTACAGTTGCTTTGTAGTATAACCTGATATCTGGTATTGTGATCCCACCTACTTTGTTCTTCTTTTTCAAGATTGCTGTGGCTATTCGGGGTCTTTTTTGGTTCCATATGAACTTTTGAAGTATTTGTTCTAGTTCTGTGAAATATGTCGTTGGTATTTTGATGGGGATTGCATTGAATCTATAGGTTGCTTTGGGTACTATGGACATTTTAATTATGTTAATTCTTCCAATCCATGAACAAGGTATGTGCTTCCACTTTTTTATATCTTCCTCTATTTCTTTTTTCAATGTCCTGTAGTTTTCTGCAAATAGGTTCTTTACTTCTTTGGTTAAGTTTATCCCTAGGTATCTACTTTTTTTTTGCCGCAATGGTAAATGAGATTGTTTCTTTAGTTTCTCATTCTGTGAGTTTATCTTTGGTGTATAACAATGCCATCGATTTCTTGACATTAATTTTGTTTTTTGTTTGTTTGTTTGTTTTTTAAGAAACACATTGTTTTATTTAACCAACCTTATATTATTATTTAGGTTGTTCCAATGTTTCACTATTACAGAAACTGCAATAAATATCAGTGAGCCCTGTGTATTACAAGGCCAAACTTGTAATTTTAAAAGTTTTTTAGTTCCTACTTTGTTTTATTTAAGACTTCTACGTTTACACTAGCAGAGAGCATAATAAAAGTAAACAGTAAATTTCACCCTCATTTTAGGGCTGAGAACATCACTAAGGAAAGAAAAAGTAGATTAATTTTATACCTGAAAAATGATCTTTCACTATTGTTTAAATGACCATTATTTTATAACAGTAAGGCTGACATGTTTTAATGTGTCAGCAACTTTTTTTTTTCATCCATAAAATATATGATAGTACTTTTTGTCGATTTTTGTCCTAAGTTTTTTCTCTTTTCAATTTATTTTTTATTTCTTAAAATTAATTTATTTTTGTTACATGTTTTCCCTTTTACACCCACTGATTCCCCCCTCTTCTTCCCTCCCCACCCTGTCCCCACCTTTGTTGTCTATGTCCATTGTTCATACACACATGCATATAAGTTCTGTGGTTTATCCCCCCCTTCAGGGGATTGTCAGTCTGTACCCCACTTCCACGTCTCTGGGACTACCCTGTTCCTCAGACTGTTATGTTCGTTATATTCCACAAATAAGTGAGATCATGTGATATTTGTCTTTCTCTGCTTGGCTAGTTTCGCTGAACATAATACTTTCCAGGTCCCTCCATGTCTTCTCAAAGGATAAGAGATCTTTCTTTCTTACAGCTGCATAGTACTCCATTATGTATATGTACCACAGCTTTTTTATCCATTCTTGACATTAATTTTGTATCCTGCTACTTTGCCAAATTCATTTATTAAGTCTAGTAGATTTTTAATGGAGTCTTCAGGGTTTTCTGTGTATAATATCATGTCATCTGCGAATAATGACAGTTTCACTTCCTCCTTTCCAATTTCGATCCCTTTTATTTTTCCTTCATGTCTGATTGCTGTGGCTAAGACTTCCAGTGCTATGTTAAATAAAAGTGGCAAAAGTGGGCATCCCTGTCTATGATTTGTCATTTGCTCTTGTATATGGTATCCCCATATCATACAAAAGTTTTAAATTTGGGTTGAAAGCAATTTCTGTTCTTCCTTTATTATGGCTTCTAAGGTTTTTCATTTTCCTAAGTAGTTCTTTTCCATCTTAAAGTTGTGTTTTCTTTTTTTTCAAGTGTTTATTTTTTATGATGATGTTAATCCTCACCCAAGGATATTTTTCCATTGATTTTTTGAGAGAGTAGAAGGAAGGGAGGATGAGAGAAACATCGATGTGAGAGAGACACATCAGTTGGTTGCATCCTGCATGATCATGACTGGGTCCAGCAATCGAACTTGCAACCCAGGCATGTGCCCTTGACTGGAATTGAACCCAAGAAAGACCCTTTGGTCCACGGGTGGACGCTCTAACCCCGAGCCAAACTTTTGTGTTTAAGCTAGAGTTTTGATTTTGTTTCACAAACAGGCCATTGTTCCGTTAGTAACTTGCCCATTACTTAGAATGTTAAATTATGAACTAAACTCCCATATTTATTATTCTTGTTTCTGGACTTGCTTTCACTGATCTGTTTAACTATTCCTGTGCCGGTGGCACAGCCTTAATTGTTATACTTTTTTTTCCCTTTGTCTTAGGATTCTGCATTCTTTTTTTAGTTATTGTTTACAGTATTACACATGTTCCCTTTTCCCCCTCCACCCAGCCCCCATAATTATGTTTTAATAAAATCTTTAAAATTTTTTTTTCTTTATTGATTTTAGAGAGGGAGAGGGAGAGAGACAGAAACATCAATGAGAGAGAACATCAACTGGCTGCCTCCTGCATGCCCCCCAGTGGGGATTGGACCTACAACCTGGGCATGTGTCCTGACTGGGAATTGAACTGGTGATCTTTTGGTGTGTGGGTCGGCACTCAACCACTGAGCCACACCAGCCAGACTTAATAAAATCTTTGATAGCTGGTTAGGGCAGGTGTCTCTTTTCCCCACTGTTCTAAAAAAATGTTACAGTAATTCATGCAGTTTCTCTCCTGTGAACTTTACATTCAGCTTGTTCAGTTTTGTAAACTAAACTTCTGTTGATGTTTTAATTGCATGACATTGAACTTGCAATACAGGGTCTTGGATCCTCTGCAAAGATCTCTGGTCAGGACGTTAGAAACAAAAGGAGAAGTGCTGTTTAAAGATCTAAGGTTGCATTCAAGTAGTGATTACTGTTTGGAAAGCTGCTTAGGTTAGGCCTAGTCTTTTTGCCCAACATGTGCAAATCTAGGGTTCTGACCCTCTTGCCTTGGAGATCTATTCTTACCTTATTCTTTCCTTTCCCTATAGTAAGGGACTTCCTCTTAGACCTTTATATTCCCTTAGTTTGCTTAAAGTGAACTTTGGACTCAGAGTTTGACATTATAAACTCACCAAAATGAAGCAAAGCATCTAATCCCAGGTATACATTTCATTATTAACCTTGAAGTAGCCCTACCTTATTACTAATTTTGTTTTTTATATTTCAGAGGAATTCTTCAGTTGGATACAGTTAATGTTATACCTGTGACAGCTGTCAACTTATATGCAGATGGTCCTAAGAAAACAGCAGAAAACTTTGAAGATAAAACATGTATTTGAAATACTGTCTCAAATCATGGACTCTGAATTAGTCTTTTGGCTCTGAATTGACACTTGAATGTTTCTTTAAATCATTAAGAAACGGTTTAAACACTAGGGAAATTGCTCAACTCCTAAAACTTGACCTTTAAAATGTCAAGTTATAGTTCACCTTATTCTTTAACTAGGCTGGCTGTTCAGATGATGAATTATTAAGGAAAATTTAAAGTGGAAGAGAAGACTTGTGAAGAAACTTTGAAATTACCAAAAAGGAAAAAAAAAAGGCAAGATAAAATGCCATGTGCCAATACTTTACAGGTGCCTTTGTTAAGGAAATTATATCCACTTAATTACTATAATATATAAGACTATGAAAAGCACTTTATGAAATTCTAATTTAAAAGCTCAAGAACTTAACACTTATTTTTTTATTCAGTAAAATGTGCCTTTATATTAAGTATATAAAAATCACTGAAATGTATCATGATTTGATTGTATCCTGTACCAAGACCACTTGCCTTGAATGCACCAGGATTTAAAAATAGTAGTGACATGTTCTCACTCTAAAATAAATGTTTTTGAGGAAAAAATGGTCTTTTGGTATAAAACTTTGCCCAAGTGAGAATTATTTCTATATTAATAGCTCCTTTCATGTACACTGGCGAAACCAAGGTTTAAGTCAGTTAAAAGTACCATCATCATGGAATTAGAAAGTACCTTTCCTTATTGTTCTAAGTATAATGCTATTTATCCTATAGTAGTGTTTGGTCTTACTTTTTTTTTAACCATTTTCCATATTGACTTATATTTTACAGTGTGATCTAGTAATACAGTGCTTATCTTTATTCCATGTGATAGATACTTTCTATTCTGTTTTGTTAATAAATTTTTTATTGCAACCCATTATTTTAAGCACATTGTCCAAGAAAGTTATGGCTAGTTTTTAAAGCCACTTTATATTTAGGCCAACTAGATATGGATGTATGGGGGAAGGATGGCAGGTAGTGCAGTAAAGGAGGGATGTTGCATTTTGCCTATTGTTAATAAGGAGTAACAGCCCTGTATGTACTATCTCAATATTATAGAATAACAGTATACACTTTACAGTTCAGATCCTAAAGTCACCTAGGTTGTCATGATCTTTCTGTCTGTCTTTCTTCACTCTGTAAGTTGCTAGAAATCATCAGTTCTAATTCCAAATGATGGCAGGTCTCATTTCATGCATTCAGCATAAGCTTGTAGATTCTGGCAAGAACAATGTACTGTAGGAGGCTACATGGCCAATTAGAGTGTATAGGTTTTGCGATCAGCAGTTTCCTACCTGTCTTTTCTCTTTACCAGTGAAACTTGAGGCTGTTTTCTATGGTTGGGATGATACAATAAGTTGTTTTGGTTTTTTTTACAAGTAATCATACATAAAAATCTTATCTAAAATTTTATACCATTAACTTGTATTTCATTTATTAACTTTTAATCATCAACTGCTAATTATGCTTAGTATCCATGAGTGAATGAGTTGATGAGTTTCATTAGAATACAGTGAGCAGCACAGGCTTAGACGTATCTACTTGCCTACAGCCTCTCTCTTATGTAGGCAGAATAAAGTCCGGCAAGGTTGTATATAGGAGCTAGAGCAAGTCTTATTCCCTAGAAGGAAGAACAGCCGTAGACAGTGAAGATGCTACACTTAGAAGTGCATATAAAGATAGTTTTCCAAACTAAGTAACAGTGTAATGCTGTTATGCTAAAGTAATGTTAAAGTAAAACAAATTGCAGATTTTAAAATTTTCCTTTATTCAGAATCATGGTTTAAAAAAAAAATCTTACCATTATGAAAGTTTAAAAAAATAATATGGCACTCAGTGCAATGAAATACTACATTTAATTATTATTCAACACTTAAGGCAGGTTTCTCACAGTTTACATGTGAGAATTAGCATGATCCAAATTCTAATATCCATTTCTCATATCTTTCAATGTCTGCAGCAGATACTGACTTAGAAACCTTTTTTAAAGCTATTTCAAAATCCTCCATAGTTGTGGGCATGTGCATTTCTTCTCTTGAAAGATTTCGGATTTCTTCTGGGGTCAAACCTTCAATACGCCTTCTCATTGCCATCAAGGATGCATCCCTAGGTTTTAAATTTAAAACAACAACAACAAAGGGATATTTTGATTTAATAAAAACCTGTTAGCTAGAAAATTATATATTTACTACATATGTAGTACAAAATAACCGATCCAGTTAGGTGGTTTCTCCCCCCACCCTGTTGGATTTAGTACTGTTTTTTGTTTTGTTTTGTTTTTTAAGGAGAAACTTCAGATTCAAGTACCTCTTTCACCACGTTTTATTCTTAAGAGTAGGCAACATTTACACAAAGGGATGGCAACATATGGCTGCTTTAGACACATACACTGTTGCCACAAATCATCACACTAGCCCCACCTACCAGCCTTCAGAGAGGAGGAAACTAGTGCAGTCAAGCACCTTGCTCAAGTGTCTGAGCTAATAACTTAGATTAGGACAAAATTTATGAATTGGCTGGATTAGAGGCAGTCTCTTCTCTTTTACTGTTATTCCTATCACATTCAGGACATCTTCACTGAAAATGAGATTGTACTGTACTTGGTTGGGTATGCCAAATCAGTTTGACAGTTATATTTCCTAATGACAGTGTACTGAATGACTGTACCAACATTAATTGTTTTCATTCAAGACAGTGACAGACTTCCTATTATACACCCATTGTTCTAACATTAGCTTCCTGAACTTGTAGTTTTCAAATGAACTGCAGATTCTCTATTGACATGTAAGATATACCAGTATCTTACTAGCACCTGCTAACCTAGATACCAGAACTTGTGTCTTTGTAGACTCAAGTGTATCTTTATTCTTTATCTTAACTTGGCATAAAAAACTTCATAATATAAGTGTAGACACACAAAAACTTCTGCTTCCAAAATAATTCATACCTGCACACGTTGGTAATGTCTGCACCTGAATAACCTTCCATGTTTTCTGCTATACTTGCAAGGTCAACATCATCAGCCAATTCCAGCTCACGTAGACTTATTCGTAATAGCTCCTCCCTGCCTTTTGCTAATGGTAGAAACAAATTTAAAAATGTAAGCCTTCAACATAAACACAGTTATTATTTCTCAAGTCCACTTTGTGTGAGAAGTTGTTTACCAACTGTTAAGAGTTTAGTTGCTTAAAAATGTAAGAGCCATTCCTCACTGAATTTTAAATATCCTAGTATCAAGGCTTTTGGGCTGTAGATATAGCCGAGCCAGTTACTATAAGAAAAAACATCCTACATTTGTCTATTGAAAGTTAACACCAAATTAAAACATTTCTAAGAAAAACTACTCAAGAGTATGAGCTTTCTGCCAAGATTCTCATGACAATACCTGACGGTAATGGAATATAGATTCTTTTCTCAAGACGTCGTCTTAAAGCCTCATCAATATCCCAGGGAAAATTAGTAGCTGCCAAAACCATAACCATTTTGGAAGGGTCATCATTTTCAGAAGCACCTCCAACACCTAAAAGAAAGGAAGGGGAGAGTAAAAGGATATTAAGATACACAAACCTCAACTATAAGATCATCAAATATTTAGTGCAACATTACAAGGTGGCATAATTGTCAAGCCTCCTTAAAACTTATAAAACTAATGTACATATGTAAACTTTGGTACAAGAAAAATGAGTTCCTGTAGTATGCAGAAAATATGACTCAAAATAGATTTAATCAAAAGACCAGCTCAGCTCAATTACATAAGTTTTTTTAAATCTTCAAAAGTATACAGATCTCTCTAAAGCCAATTTATCTGCATTTATTCCAGTTGCATCTTAAAAATAAGAGATCACTGTATATGCCAAAGGGTGCCCTATGAATAGCCATTATTTCTGGTATGACACCACTGTCAGTGTACCCAATTTAATGCTGCAGACTCCAGGACCTACTCGCCAGCCTCCTCTAGTCATTGGGAGTTGTGTGGGTTAGCACCAGGAGCAGAGCTTGGTCAATTCATGCATATACTCAAGCCTACCGTCCATTTGAACGAGCAGCTCGGCTTTCACCCTTCGGCTTGCTTCATGCTCTTCAGAAGTCCCTCTGCGACTACAAATGGAATCAATCTCATCAATAAATATGGTGGCTGGAGAATAAAATCGAGCCTAAAGAAAGAAACCATGCAACACCAGGTTTTTATTTCATTTAAAAGTAATCTATAGCCTGGCCGGTGTGGCTTGGTGGGTTGAGCGTCCTTCCATGGACTGAGAGATCCCAGTTTGATTCCTGGTCATGGCACATGCTCAGGTTGTGGACTTGATCCCCAGTAGGGGGCGTGCAGGAGGCAGCCAATGGATGTTTCTCACAATGATGTTTTTATCTCTCCCTTCCTATCTCTCTCTCTAAAAAAAAAATCAATAATTATTTTAAAAAAGTAATCTATAATTGAGCAACCAGAAAGCAGCTGAAGAGTCTGCCATACTGTGTGTCTCTCTTGCCCAAATATTAGGGGGAGAGGATAAAATTGGAACAGCAAAATATACTTTCTAATATAGACTTATACTAAAAGATTATATAGCAGTTTTTTGCCATTCAATACTATAACTGGATACATATTTACTTATGAGTGATATAAATACAGCATTTTCCTGTGTACTATAAAAATATGAGTAATTGATGAGAAAACATTTATAGGTACTGGTTAAGTGTTATAAAGTTCTAGGGAAAAATTTGGTTAAAGTGAACCATTATCTTAAATAAAAGTACATATATTTTCTCTAAGAAATGCTAATTGCCATTTTTCATTTGAAAAATAGAAGTACTTTTTTAATCCTTTTAAGTAGTCAACTAGAAGAATGAATTTCTTATCTTGCCCAAGTTTTTTTCTAATTGATTTTTTAGAGAGAGGAAGAGAGAGAAACATCAATCAGTTGCCTCTTGCATGCCTCCAACCAGGGATTGAACCCACAACCCAGGCATGTGTCCTGCCTGGGGATGGAACCCACCGCCTTTTGGTGCATGTCAAGACACTCCAGCTACCTGAGCCACACTGGCCAGGGCTGCCTAAACTTTTTTAGATAAAATTCACATAAAATTTACCATTTAAACCACTTTAAAATTGTATGATTTAGAATATTCACTATGTTGTGCAGCCATCACCACTATCAAATTCCAGGATATTTTCGTCACCCCAAAAACAGCCTGTATTTCCATTCCCCTCAATTCCTGGCCACATCTAATTAGTTTTCTGTCTCCACGCTATGGATTTGCCTATTCTGGACATTTCTAATAAATGGGATCATACAATAATATGTGGCCTTTTGTGTGTGGCTCCTTTACTTAGCATGTTTTCAATGTTCATCTATACTGTAGCATTACAGTACTTCACTCCATTTTATGGATAAATAACACCTCCTGAGTTTATTTTTGTACCTCAAATACATTTCTTTCTCAAACCAAAGGACAGGAAAAACTGATCTATTAAATAATTACTAGTCAAGGATTAACTAGTAAATAGCTGTGAAACATTCAACAGTATCACCTTTCTCTTCAGGAGTCTGAAGATGCAATTTATTACAGTAGCTAGAGAAGTTCATTGTTTAATCATTTTTAAGTGAAATATCCAAACTTACAGAATCACTAAACAAGGAAGTTAGAACTAAATGATGACAGATTTCTTTCTTTTTTTTTTTTTTTTTTATCCTCACCCGAGGACATTTTTCCATTTTTTGTTCAGGCAGAGTGGGAGGGAGAGAGAGGAACAGAGAGAGAGAGAAACATCGATGTGAAAGGAACACATCGAGTGGCTGCCACTCGCACGAGGTCGGGGACAAACTGCAACCGAGGTACGCGCCCTTAGCGGGAACCGAACCCGGGTCTCTCAGGACCGCAGGCCGACGCTCTAACCGCTGAGCCAAACCGGCCAGGGCGATGACAGATTTCTTAAAACAGCTTGAGTGAACAAACAAGTTAAAGGTTTTTCTAAAAATGAAAGTCCACAGTGGCAAGTGAGTCTTCCACACTTGAACATGCAATTGTACTAGGCCTGTCAATTCCTTTGGACTGTAAGGTTATAATCAGTACCCTTTAAGAGGCATTTAGCTGTTGAAAGTACTGTGCCTCCAAAGTATGGATTTAGTTTTAGTATGTTCCCTTGGGAAATCCTAATATTTACATTTCTCTTTTCCAATAGAAAATTTGAATCCTAAATCATCTATTCTTTCCAAAGGGTTAATTTCATTTTTAATAAAACACCCTTATTTGAGTTTTAGGTACTATGTACAAAAATTTTTGTACTTTTTTTTTAACAAAGAGGGAAAGAAAAAAAGAGTATCTAAGAAACTTTCCATTTGAAGTTCTAGCTATAAACCATTTACAAAATTTAGATTTCAATCTTTTGCCATACCACATAAAAATGACTAATTCTTCCCAAATTCTGAGGGTGTGTAGAATAACCTGCCCTGACTTAAAGCAGAGGCTATGTGGCACACATAAAATCGGCTTTGGATGACCTGGGAGAGTAATGCAGAGACTTGGAGTGGACACCAATTGTTTTGACTTCTTCTGGTAAGAGAAGCTCTCTTTTTCATTCATAAATCATCCCACTTCCATTCTCATTCCACTAAAGAAGAGGCCGACTCTTTTGGATTCAGAGTTGTCTCAAACATTCACCATTTCGAACAGAAGACGAACAAGCTTCTCTGACTCTCCTCTGTATTTAGAAGTTAGTGTTGATGAAGAGACATTGAAGAATGTTGTCTTGCATTCCGTAGCTACTGCTTTAGCAAGGAGGGTCTTTCCCGTGCCAGGTGGGCCAACCATCAACACTCCCTGTTTGGAATATAACAGCGTAAATGAAGGTTTTATCTGACACTATGCTAAATTCACAAGAATTCCATTACCAAGGATCACTTTTCAACTAACTTACACATAACATTAAGACAAAAGACAAAAATAAAGGTAAACAGAAGGATACTTTATCCATTACAAAAGTATAAAGACATTAAAAATATGCAACCCAGAAATGAGAAAAAATACAATCAATATTATAATATTGATATTATAATATCATACCTTAACACAGGTATCATTAGTAACTGAAATATTTCCTGGTAGTCTTTTTGTTCAAATAAATTAGTTTTACATATTTATACTCAGAGAATGTCTATAATTTTGTACCTTGCTTATCACTTAACATTTAGATTTAAAATTAGTAAGTGAAAAAAAAAAAGAAGCCCTGGCCAGTTTGGCTCAGCGGTTAGAGTGTCGGCCTGCGGTCCTGAGAGACCTGGGTTCGGTTCCCACTAAGGGCATGTACCTTGGTTACAGTTTGTCCCCGGCCCTGATTGGGTTGTGAGGTGGCAGCCACTCAATGTGTCCCTTTCACATCGATGTTTCTCTCTCTCTCTCTCTCCCTCCCACTCTATCTGAACAAAAAAATGGAAAAATGTCTTTGAGTGAGGATAAAAAATAAATTAAAAAAATTAGTAAGTGCTTAGCTATCAGCACATTTTCCAAATCCAAGAAAGGGTTTTTTGACAATCTCTTTTCAGATCAACCCAGGATCTTGAAAAGGCCTCATCAGATGTAGATATTTGTCATTTTTGAAGAAAAATATCTGAATTAGATGCAAATATGTCTTAATTTCTTAAGAACAGGGTACAAGTTTGCAACATGATACATAAAATGGAATGTTTTCGCATTAGGCAACTTGTTCACATTTGCAAATACAAGCTCATTCTAAATCTGCTATGTGTCCTACTTTCCGAGATCATATTATACTTATTATTCTGGGAACCTTGAAATAGCTTTTGGTCTAAACAAAATTCTGAATAACACAACATCCTTTTTTTTTTTTAATCCTCAATTGAGGATATTTTTTTCCATTTATCTTCAGATAAAGTGAGAGGGAGAGAGAGAAAGAAACATCAAGTGAGAGAGAGACATCAACTGGCCACCTCCCACATGACCCTGACCAGGGCTGGGGACCAAATTGCAACTGAGGTACATGTCCTTGACCAGAATTGAATCCGCGACTCTTTGGTCCACTGGCCAATGCTCTAACCGTTTAGCAACCCCACCAGGGCTACATTTTTTAATTTAAATTTTCTTTACCTACTCGACTGCTTTCTCCCTCATATAGATAAATACTGGCTTTCTATAGCAATGTACTTGCCATTCACTTTGACAATGCCATATTAGTAATAAACTTACTTTCCATGGTCTCCTGATGCCCTTAAAGAATTCTGGCATCCACATTGGTAACACTACGGCTTCCTTAAGCAACTTTTTAGCTTCTACCAAATCAGCAATATCATCCCTGAAACAGAAGATATTTTATCAGTCATCTCTGAGATTATATATTTAACTCTATACAGTCATTCTTCAGAACCACTGGAATTATGTCATTTAATGCTGCCGACAGATGCTAAGCCTCTCCCTTGGTACTGGTGAACTAAGACAGTGATGAGGCCGACTGCACCAACCAGTACATAGAAAGAGCACAACGTGTACTTTCAGTTTTTGTCAGTGATGATCCTCAGCTTGTTGAGTACGAACATAGGTCTATAGGCCCACTCAAGTATTATTATGCCATCTCATTTTAAATTCCTGCTCTTACTAATGATGCTAATTCCATAAACTCCATGATTTAAAAACAATGAGCCCATTAAAAAAACCATCAAGAATAAACAAGGCATAAAGCAGAGACAGGTTGTAATACTGCTGCTTTGCCCCCAACCCTATTAAGATGTAGACACCAAGGTTAAAGAGCATCATAGAGGTTGCTATGAAGTCATCTCCAACCACAAGATTAGCACCACCACCACCGCACACATGGTATTTTTAATGAAAATATGTTTATTGTATAAATATCAAATGTCAAAAAATATTTTAAAAATATCCCCAAACCATATGTAAAAATAATATAATCAGGTTTTAATATAGAGATAGATATAGATATAACAGAATGTACTTATTAACTTCATGGGGAAGGGAGCTTTTATAACTTATTGTGATAAATTACAGTTCTTTGATTAGATATAATATTAATAAAGTAAAAAAAACCCACTGCTCTAAATAGTGGGAAATAAAAGCAGCATGTACTAGATAAACATATAGATAACAAGCAACACACATGCATAAGAATCATAGCCATTTCATCATTAGAGAATGTCCCCAAAAGAAGACAAAATTTCTGTGATCTTATTCCCATTCTGTATTAAGATTTTTTATTCAATAAAATATTATTTTATTATTTATTTCATTAAATTAAAGTCTCAGACAAAAAAGTGATACAGCCTGAACTGGAGTTTTTCATTACACGTCACACTCCCATTACATCTCTGGTTCTGTCCCCAAGGACTGACTGCCAGTAAATGCCCGCATTTGCTCCATTTTCTATTTCAAAAAACATCAACAGCACCCAATTATTATAACTTACCATCGAACATTGGGATTCTGGGAAATTATATCTCTTTCCAAAGCTTCTACTAAGTCCTTATCATATCCAGTACTATCAAATTTATTTGTCTCTGGTTCTGTAACAGCGGCAGGTGATTTGTTCTACATCAGGAGAAAAAAACAAGAGCTTTTGATAGACTCAAAAATTATATTTTGTATCTGTGAGTCAAAAACAAAGAGTAGACTCAAGTGATATTTTTTTAAAAGCTAATATTATAGTACAGTAATAAGGGCAGAATCAAAGACTAGAAGTCATCCTTCTACATCTACATCAGAGTTGCATACTTAATTTCTATTTTTACATAAAAGGTATGGCAATGCTGTTAAAAATATTGTACATATGAACTGATGAGAATCAAAAAATTAATACTGAGAGTAACTGTGGCCACTACTGAACATCAGATATGTGTGACACTTATTTCAAAGCTTTAGAGGAGATAAGGTTAAAGACAGATGGATTATTCAACTAAGACTATAGCTCAGTCTTTAACAACCTCCTCAGTCCTCATTAATACTCCTAAAATATCCCTTTTCACCATTCCCACCCACCTTCCAAAAAAGACATCTCAGTCCTTAAGTGAGACCCACCCCCTCCAATCCCCTGTGATGACAGTCATTCGGGCCATAGATCCCAAATATATACTAAAGTATCCAAGGCACAATGGCAACTTCATAGAGCACTGAAAGATTTTCTTATTTTTATTTTATAATTGTTGGCAGTATTACAAATGTCCCCCATTTGAAAATTTCAATTAAAAAATTTTTTTTCTTGCCCTGGCCGGTTTGGCTCAGCGGTTAGAGCATTGGCCTACGGTCCAGAGAGACCCGGGTTCGGTTCCCGCTAAGGGCGTGTACCTCGGTTGCAGTTTGTCCCCGGCCCTGGTTGGTCATGCGGGTGGCAGCCACTCGATGTGTCCCTTTCACATCGATGTTTCTCTCTCTCTCTCGCTTCCTCTCTCTCCCTCCCACTCTATTTGTACAAAAAATGCAAAAATGTCCTCGGGTGAGGATAAAAAAAAAAAAAAATTTTTTTTTCTTTATTTATTTTGGAAAGTGAGTAAGGGAAAGGGAGAGACAGAAACATCGATGAGAGAGAACACCGCCTCCTGCATGCCCCCCACTGGGGATCAGGACCACAACCTGGGCATGTGCCCTGACTGGGAATTGGACCAGCGACCTACTGGTGCAAGGTCAACGCTCAACCACGGAGCCACACTGACCGGGCGATATTTTCCATTTTTGAAGAAAGCAGAGCAGTATCTGTTGAACACTAGATGAAACTACCAGCTCGAAGCAGTTCAGTTTATACATGAAGATTGTTATATGCCTTTCAGAAATGCCATATTTTGGAAAGCTAGATTTTTGGCAGTTGCTCTGATAAAAAATATAGTGGGAAAAATCAACGTGGATGAGGAATAAGAGTAGAATGTCCACTCTTACTCCAAGGTCTGAGAAACTGCAGTGACAGCAGGTGTTGCTAGGACATAAAGTCCTTTGAACCTAACTGCTTCATAAATGGATAGGTATTCTTTTGGTCCTAGAGGTACTGTGAGAAAATTACTGAAATACAAATTTTATGAGCCAAGAAAATTTATGAAGCTCTGCATTAGTATAAATAATCATTTACTGGATTTTGTACTAAGATCATTATCTCATTCCATAACATTTTTTGCCCTTAACATGAGATTTGTCAATGGTGCTGTCTAAAGTCAATATTAATGTCTAGACTTAGCCAATATTTATGATATTCAAAGTTTTACACTATATGACCAAATAAGCATCTGTCTCACAATGTGCAGACTATTCAGCATCCAATACTAACATGGAACAAGGAAGGTATTGTTTAACATTTAAAAGAATGTTATCTTTTCTTCTAAGTATTTATGAAGTTGTTATTCATTCAGAGGTATTTACCAAGAATCTGTTCTGTACTAGCAGCTGTGGGGGTAGAAAGAAGACACTGTCTCTGACTATTGAAATGTACACTGTAAGCCCAAGAAGACACAAATGGAAGGCACTTTCTAGTTCTCGCTTTTTCGCCCACAGAACACAGTGCTGAGGGAATGTTTCCAGACAAAGCTAAACAAATTTAAGCTAGGCAGAAAGGAGAAACAATTCTATGATAGTCATGAAAGAAAAGTTATGGAATTTCAAATGTTGACATTTTTAATATAATTTTATTGAATTAGCTGAACTAGTACAGTTTCCTTTAAGTATACATTGATGCAATAACTCGCTCTAAGTGAAAATACTAACAGCTACTAGGAGGTAAAAGAAAACAACAGAGAGGTTAAAAAAATGTATACTCTTTTTTTTATTAATTCTCACCCAAGGACATCTTTGCATTCATCTTCAGATAGAGAGGGAGGAAGAGAGAGAGAGAAACATCTATGTGAGAGAGACACATGGAGTGGTTTCCACCCACATGACCCCAACCGGGGCTGGGGACAAACTACAACTGAGGTACGTGCACTTAGCGGAAACCGAACCCAGGTCTCTCTGGTGCACACTCCTTTTTGATGCGCACAATAAAGTTGAAGATGGACCAAGTAACTGGGAGACAAGTTCCTGGGTTTAAAACCAGTTATTTTAAAAGCTGGCAAAATTATAAACAAATCCAAATCCACTGCCTTAATTAATCTGGAGAAGAATGCCTGGAAGCTCTGTGCTCCTTCCCTCATACCTTGCTCTATGCATCTCTTCCACCTGGCTGTTCCGGAGCTGTATCCTTTGTAATAAACTAGTAATCTAGTAAGTAAACTACTTTTCTTAGTTCTGTGAGCCGCTCTAGCAAATTATCAAGCCCAAGGAGAGTCATGATAATCTCCGATTTATACTAGTTAGAAGCACAGGCAACAAATGGACTTGCAATTGGCATCTGCTATGGGGGCAGTCTTACGGGACTGAGTCCTTCATCTGTGGAATCTGATGTTAACTCCAGGTTGATAAGTGTCAAATCTACTTAAATTGTGGGACACTCAGCTGGGGCGAGAGAATTTGCCTGGCATTGAAAATCCCCTGCGTACTTGGAGTACTTGTGTGTAGACAGAAAAACAGAATCTCCCTTTACAGGGAGTAATTTTCTTTTCTTTTCTTTTTTTTTAAATTCTCACCAGAGGATATTTTTCCATTTTTTGCACAGATAGAGTGGGAGGGAGAGAGAGGAAGAAAGAGAGAGAGAGGGAAACATCGATGTGAAAGGGACACATCGAGTGGCTGCCACCCGCACGACCAACCAGAGCCGGGGACAAACTGCAACCGAGGTACGTGCCCTTAGCAGGAACTGAACCCGGGTCTCTCTGGACCGCAGGCAGATGCTCTAACCGCTGATCCAAACCGGCCAGGGCTACAGGGAGTAATTTTCTAATGGGCACAGAGTTTCAGTTTGGCAAAATTAAAAATGTTGTGTGGATAAATAGTGGTGATGGTTCCACAACAATGTGAATGTATTCACCTGCACCAAACTGCACACTTAAGGGGATTAAAATGGTAACTTTTGTTACATATATTTTAACCACAATTGTAAAAAATAATTTTTAAAAAAGTTAATTGTGCCCTGGCCGGTTTGGCTCAGCGGTTAGAGCGTCATCCTGCGGTCCTGAGAGACCCGGGTTCGGTTCCCGCTAAGGGCGCGTACCTCGGTTGCAGTTTGTCCCCGGCCCTGGTCGGTTGTGCGGGTGGCAGCCACTCGATGTGTTTCTTTCACATCGATGTTTCTCTCTCTCTCTCTGTTCCTCTCTCTCCCTCCCACTCTACCTGAACAAAAAATGGAAAAATGTCCTTGGGTGAGGATAAAAAAAAAAAAAAGTTAATTGTATTTTTATACAATTGAAATGAGTATGTGGAAATGAAATAAAAAATAAATTGACTTACAATCACTTAAAAAAATAAAATAGGTATAAAATCTAACAAAACATATACAAAACCTGCATTCTGAAAACTATATAATATTGATAAAAGAATTCAAAAACCTAAATAAATGGAGATAAAAAAAAAACAAAAAACATGTTCATGGAGTATATGATTCAATATAATAAAGATGCTGATTTTCCCTAAATTGGCATAAAGGTTTTAATGTAGTTCCTATCAAAATCTCAGCAAAATTCTTTGTAGACATAAAAAGGCTGATTCTAAAACTTATGAGGAAAAAGAAAGGAACTGGAATAGCTAAAACAATTTTGAAAAGGAAAAATAAAATGGGATGAATCAGTCTTCCTAATTTTAAGACTTATTATATAGCAACAATAATCAAAACTGTGTGGTATGGGTAGAAAAACAGACACATATATCAGTGAAACGTGATAAGTAGAGAACCCAGAAATAGACATACACAAATATGGCCAACTGGTTTTTGACAAAGGTACAAGAGCAATTCAATAGAGAGAAGATAGCCTTTTCAACAAATGGTGCTGAAGCAACTGGATATGTATAGGCAAAAAGTAAACTTTGACCTAAGTCTCGCATCTTATATAATTATTAACTCAAAATGCATCACAGACTTAAATGTAAAATGTAAACTTCTAGAAAAAAATAGAAAATGTGGGGTATCTAGGAATAGGCCAAGAGTTAAGAACTTAATATCAAATAGAAATAGCACACCCAGCCGGTGTGGCTCAGTGGATTGAGCATTGCCCCATGAACTGAGAGGTCCTGGTTTGATTCCTGGTCAGGGCACATGCCCTGGTTGCGGGTTTGGTTCCCAGTGCGGGAAATGCAGGAGGCAGCCGATTGAGGTTTCTCTCCTACACAGATGTTTCTCTCTCTCTCTCTCTTCCTTCCTCTCTCCTTAAAAAAAAATCAATAAAACAAACAAACAAACAAAAAAAAACCATTAGCCCTGGCAGGTTTGGCTCAGTGGTTGGAGCGTTGGCCTGTGAACCAGAGAGTCCCAGGTTCGGTTCCCACCAGGGGCACGTACCAAAAAAAATAAATTAAAAAAAAGAAAAAAAGAAAAGAAATAGCAGAGTTGGTGCTTAAAACAGGTCACTTGAATCCAATGCCCATACTTGTAATTACCATGCTATATTTTTGAGTTTATATTTTATAGTTTATATTTTATAGCTTCCTGTCTTAATAAGCAGATATTAATTTCTCTGGGACAACTGATTTCTTGATTACAGTATTTGAGGTTATATACCATTTTTCAGGGTATAAAAGCATGGGAATAAAATGAAAAGGTATAGGACACTGAGATGAGTTCTACAGACCACAAATGGTTATAAGGCTTATAACCCAACCCTAAATGATAGACCAGGGAAACTTTGGTATCGATAATACTCCATAAAGGCCAGATTCATCAGCCACCTTCCCCACACCCTTCCTTGTTTCAGGAACTAAAACAGGACTGCTACTGCTCCTGGAAGTGCAAAGATGTAGGACTACAGAACTATCCGGAAAGAGGGACTTAACAGAACTGACTGTCCAGATGTACAAGAGCAACTGACCTCCAGAAATGTAGGAGGAATGAGGCAGACGACACAAAATCAAGAGCTAAATGATTATCTGTATCTTTATCAACAAGGAAGGCTATTTAAAGGTGTGGCTTTGCTGATTGTTGGGTGAGGTTCTCAGGCAGAATTATAAAGTTAGACTGTACATCTGGAAGAAAGAATGAAGTAGAAGCTGATGTGAGGTTATGAATGGAGTGAATGGGAAGCACGGGGGCTTCATATTTTGCTACACAGTTTTCACTTTGCCGAAGTGGTGTGGAGAGGTCTTTCTGGCCCAAGTAGCCAAACAAGATACCCTGTACTTTATTCTATCACAGTCACTGGAGACATGCCTTGGGCAGAAGTAGGGGAAATGGGGTAGCACAGAAGACAGAAACTAAGCTCTGAGATTCCCATATGCATTTTTTTTTTTTAAATCTTCACCAAAGGGTATGTTTATTGATTTTTAGAGGGAAGGAGGGAGAGAGACAGAGGAGAGAGAGGGGAGAGAATGAGAAACATCGATCGGTTGCCTCCCATATGCACCCTGACCAGGTATCAAACCTGCAACCTAGATATGGGCTCTGACCGGGAATCGAACCTGCCACCTTTCAGTGTATGGGACAACATTCCAACCAAATGAGCCACAGGGCCAGGACCCATATATTTCTTATTACAATAGAGTATAAGCCCTCTAAAAAAATATTAATCAGCACTCAAATCTTTATTTCTAAATCCCATTCCTTCCTCACTAACAGGAAACATGGGGGAAATACAAGGGGAGCCCAGAACATCCTATTGTGCCAGAAAATAAGGAAGAGCTCAGAGAATGATGAGCAAATGTCAAAAACGCATAGGATCCGGCGCAAGGATCTCCCACTCCTCTAACCTTGGAAAATTTAAGCATCAGATAATGATAGTAACATTATAATTCACTGAATAAAATAAGACTCCATGAATTCATACTGATATAATTAAATAAAGGGGAAGAAAACAAAGCTTTTCTTTATGGACAAGTACCAATTAATGTAAAAGAAATAATGGCATTAGAAAATCATGATTTCACAATCATCACAGGAATAACTGATTCCGGCAAGAATCACTGGATGATACAACAAATAGATGAAACTGATGAGAAATAGGATATTTGCAGTCTCAAAGCATCTTCCCACAAATTATTATAAAGGGAAAAAGAGTAACTTTACAATGGAGACCTCCTGGTACATGGGACAATGCTCCCATACTCCCATGTATAGGGTGGCAGACACCACCCTAACCAAGTGATCCAATTTATCATGAGTAATAGAACAAATAAACATCCTGGGGCCTCCTTATATGATACATTGAGAAGATTAAAACTTCATTTCTGTGGTATTCCTGCCAAAAATGCATAACCTCAATATAATCATGAGGAAACCTCAGACAAACCCAAACTGAGAGACATTCTACAAAATAACTGGCCAGCACTCTTTAAAAATGCCAGGCCAAAAAAGAGAGGCTGAGAAATGTTCACATTAAAATAGAGTAAAGAGCCCTGGCCAGTTTGGCTCAGCGGTTAGAGTGTCGGCCTGCGGTCCGGAGAGACCCGGGTTCGGTTCCCGCTAAGGGCACGTACTTCGGTTGCAGTTTGTCCCCGGCCCTGGTTGGTCGTGCGGGTGGCAGCCACTAGATGTGTCCCTTCACGTCGATGTTTCTCTTTCTCTCTCTCTCCCTTCCTCCTACTCTATCTGTACAAAAAATGGAAAAATATCCTCGGGTGAGGATAAAAAAATAAATAAATAAAATAGAGTAAAGAAACATGAGATTTAGCCCAGCTGGTGTGGCTCAGTTTGTTGAACATTGTCCCATGTACCAGGAGGTCACCAGTTCAATTCCCGATCAGGGCACATGCCCAGGTTGTGGGCTCAATCCCCAGTAAGGGGCCTGCAGGAAGCAGCTGATCAATGTTCCTTTCTCACTGATGTTTCTCTCTCTCTCTCTCCCTCTCCTTTCTTCTCTTTGAAATCAATAAAATATATTTTAAAAACCATTGAAAACTAAATGCAATATATGATTCTACACTGGATCCTGGCATGGGGCAGAAAAGGCTATAAATGACATTAGATAATTGCCAGAAATCTATTAAGTTCTGTGGATTAGATTTACTGTACCAATATAATATTTATGGCTTTTGATAACAGTATAGTATTTAAGTGAAAGAATGTCCTTGTACTTAGGAAATATCTCCTAAAGTACTTAAGTGTAAAAGGGCATGATATCTATAACTTACTCTCAATGCTTCAGAAAAAACAAGTATACAAAGAGTAAACGATAAAGCAAAAGAGGCAAAATATTAATAAATAGTAAAAATTAGTAAAGAATATATGGAAGTTCCTTATACCATTCCTACAACTTGTTTGCAAGTCTGAAATTATATCAAGATATGAAGTTATAAAAACCAACCAAAAATATTGGTTGAACAGTGAGTGGGAAAATCCTACGTGGAGTATGACTAAGGTTTTATTATACTCCAGCAAATCTTTTAAAAATGTTTTTACTGATTTTAGAGAGAGAGAAAGGGAAAGGGACACAGAGAGAGAAAGATCAATGCAAGAGAGAAACACTGATCAGCTGCCTCTTGCACACCCTGTATTGGGGATCAAGACTGCAACCTGGGTATGTGCTCTGACTGGGAATTGAACCTGTGACCTTTTGGTACATGGGACGATGCTCAACCAACTGAGCCACACTGGCCAGGCAGGGATGACAGTTTTTGTTTGTGTTGTTTTTTTATTTTTATTTATTTTTTTACAGGAGAAAGTCTATTTAGAAAGTCACAGAGGTAAAAAAAAAAAAAAAGGTGAGCCAGCTGGGCTGCATGGGCTCAGGAAACAAGTTACAGACTCAAAAGAAAGGCCATTGGAGTTTAGAAGAAAGGCAAAGAAAACGTACCTGGAGGAAGGTGAGAGGGAAAGGCAGGGGCTCACTCCAAAGAGAGAGAGCTGCCATAGTCTGGCAGTTTTAATGAGTAAAATGCTATTAAAATCTGTACAGTCTTTGTTTTTAAAGTTAATAACTTCCATTTATGAAAATCAGTAACATTTACCTTTTCTTCTCTTCCTTTATTCTGTTCTTTCTTTTCCCGACAACGAACAGCTTTCCCTCTGTCACTGTGAAGATTGTGTACAGATGGACGGTGAACTCTGACAGTTGTACTTGGACGGTTACTGTGTGGTTTAGAGTCACTGTTCTGAGAAGACTGGCGTTTTCTAGGACCTGGGGAGGGTCTAATCAAACACAACATCATAAAAATCATAATCAACCCCTGGAATTGGCCCAAATATAGATGAACACAAACAGTGTATAAGAGTCTATGAAATAGCCCTGGCCGGTTTGGCTCAGCGGTTAGAGCGTCGGCCTGCGGTCCGGAGAGACCCGGGTTCGGTTCCCGCTAAGGGCACGTACCTCGGTTGCAGTTTGTCCCCGGCCCTGGTTGGTCGTGCGGGTGGCAGCCACTCGATGTGTCCCTTCACGTCGATGTTTCTCTCTCTCCCTTCCTCTCTCTCCCTCCCACTCTATCTGTACAAAATATGGAAAAATATCCTCAGGTGAGGATAAAAATAAATAATAAATAAAAAAAAGAGTCTATGAAATAAAGAAGCCAAGGCAATAACTGAACACAAGATAGGAGTGAATAAACTTTATTTTTCAAAAGCCATGTTTTTCTTTTTATTTATTTAACCTATCCTTATTATTATTATTTTGTATTTTGTTTTTTTTTACAGATGTTTCTCCTTTTTCCCCCATTGACACCCTCCTCCCTATCCCGCCGCCCCATCCCCAGCTTTGTTGTCTATGTCCACTGGTCATGCATACATGCATATAAGTTTATGTGGTTTATCTCTTCCTTCCCAACCCCCCCTCCTCTGAGGCTTGTCAGTCTGTACCCCACCTCTATGTCTCTGGGTCAATTTTGTTCACCAGTTTGTTTAGTTCATTATATTCCACAAATAAATGAGATCATGTGATATTTGTCTTTCTCTGATTGGCTTGTTTTGCTTAGGATAATACTCTCCAGGTCCCTCCATGTCGTCTCAAAGGATAAGAGATCTTTCTTTCTTACAGCTGCATAGTATTCCATTGAGTATATGTACCAAAGCTTTTTTATCCACTCATCTTTAGATGGACACTTGGGCTGTTTCCAGATCTTAGCTATTGTAAATAGTGCCGCTATGAAGAAAGGGGTACATATATTCTTTCTTTCTTTCTTTTGTAAGGGGCAGGGTTGAAACACAGGGCTTCTCTCTGGCCATGGGAACACCAGAGCTCTGTGAACAGAGGGTATCACTTCCTGTGTGTGTATGTGTGTGTTTGGGAGGGTGGTATCTTCCTGGGGAAGTGGCCATTGCCAGAACCCGAGCTCCCAAGAGTGGCAAACCAGTGACTCCTGCTCCCCAGGGAGCAAGCTCAGCTGGAGACTGCCCAAGTAGGTCACTGAGAGCTGTGGGAATGGTTTGCTCAGGGGTAGCCTTGTGGCTTCTGTAAGGAGAGAGCAAAGTGGAGTCACCTTCGGTTTAGTATTGTGTTCTGAGTGGTTTCTCTATAGCTATCATGTACCTCACACTGACTGTAAGACGACCCTGTGCGACACAGGTGTGTATGGGTTCACACCAGCCCTCCAACGAGATGTAATCATCTCTCTGTACAGATGAGCAAAGTGAGGCCAAGATGGATGGGACCCATGTTCCAGTCGAGGCCACTCTGACCCTAACTCTCTTAACATTGCCCCCAGCCAACAACATGAAGAGGAACAGAACTCCCTGTTTCACGTTTGCTGAAGATGCCCCAGAACAGGGAGAAGCCAGCCTGCCTCCATATATTCTTTCTGATTGGTGTTTCAGGCTTCTTAGGGTATATTCCTAGAAGTGGGATCATTGGGTCAAATGGCAGTTCAATTTTTAACTTTTTGAGGTAATACCATCGGGTTTTCCACAGTGGCTGCACCAGTCTGCATTCCCACCAGCAGTGTACTAGAATCCCCTTTTCTCCACACCCTCGCCAACACTTGTTTGATGATTTGTTGATGGCGGCCATTCTGACAGGTATGAGGTGATACCTCATAGTTGTTTCAATTTGCATCTCTCTGATGATTAGTGACATTGAGCATTTCTTCATATGTCTCTTGGCCATTTGTATGTCCTTTTTGGAGAGGTGTCTATTTAGGTCCTCTGCCCATTTTTTTAATTGGGTTCTGTGTCTTCTTTTTGTTGCGCTGTATGAGCACTCTATGTATTTTGGAAATTAACCCCTTATCTGATGCATCATTGGTGATTATGGTCTCCCATATAGTGGGATCTCTTTCCGTTTTGATGGTTGTTTTTGGTTTTTAGTTTGATGTAGTCTCACGTTGTTCATTTTTTCCTTTGTTTCTCTTGCCTTAGGTGTTGTATCATTGAAAATTCTGCTGCGTATGATGTCTGAAATTTTGTTGCTTGCATTTTCTTCTATAATTTTTATAGATTCACAAGTTACATTTAAGTCTTTTATCCATTTTGAGTTTATTTTCATGTATGGTATAAGTTGGTGGTCTAGCTTCATTTTTTGCAAGTAGCTGTCCAATTTTCCCAACACCATTTATTGAAGAGACTGTCTTGACTCTACTGTATGCTCTTGCCACCTCTGTCAAATATTAATTGAGCATAATGTCTTGGGTCAATTTCTGGGTTCTCTATTCTGTTCCACTGATCTATCTGCCTGTTCTTGTGCCAATGCCAGGCTGTTTTGATTATAGTGGCTTTGTAGTATAACCTGAAATCTGGTAATGTGATCCCTCCTACTTTGTTCTTCTTTTTTAAGATTGCTGTGGCTATTCTTATTTATTTATTTATTTATTTTTTCTTTACTGATTTTAGAGAGAGAGGAAGAGGGAGAGAGAGAGAGAAATATCGATGAGAAAGAATATCAATTGGCTGCCTCCTGCATGCTCCTCACTGGGGATTGGGCCCACAACCTGGGCATGTGCCCTGACCAGGAATCGAACTGGCAACCTCTTGATGCATGGGTCGATGCTCAACCACTGAGCCACACCAGTTGGGCTATCCTTATTTATTTATTTTTCTTATCCTCACCCGAGCACATTTTTTTATTTTTTGTTCAGATAGAGTGGGAGGAAGAGAGAGAGAGAGAAACATTGACATGAAAGGTACACATCGAGTGGCTGCCACCCGCACAACCCAACCAGGGCCGGGGACAAACTGCAACCGAGATACGTGCCCTTAGTGGGAATCGAATCCGGAACTCTCTGAACTGCAGGCTGACGCTCTAACCGCTGAACTAAACCTGCCAGGGCTATCCTTATTTTTTAAAGTATTACAAATGTCTCTCCTTTTTCCCCGATTGACTTCCTCTCTCCCCACCCCCCTAACCCCACCCTCACAGCTGTCTGTGTCCACTGGTTATACATACACGCATATAAGTTATTTGGTTTATCTCTTCCCACTACCACCACCCCCTTCCCTCTGAGGTTTGTCAGTCAAGGCATGCCTTTCTTAAAAGGTCTCCACTTACCTTCGTTCAACAGGTACAGGTAAGGACCAGACTTCTCCCTCAGAAGCTGGAAGCTCATGTTGTGCAGCTTTCAATGGAGTACTGTCTAATTTAAAACTCTCTAGTGTTTTCATGATATCCTTAACATGTTTGGCTTCCACATTTATTTCCTGCCAAACCTGGTTTCAAAGGAGAATACAACTCTTTATTACAAATAAATCACTGCCAAGATTAAACTAGGGCCATTTATTAGAGATGTTAGAAACCTCCATTTTGACATCAGATATCCAGTAAACCACACCAAGCTATTCTGTTGAAATTTTAATAATGGTTCATTAATTCTTTGTTTTCAATTGCGGAATTAATTCTGATAAAATGAATTAAATATTCTAGCTAATTAAGCCATATTACTGACTTATGGTTCTTATTCGAACTGCATAACAAATTGAAAAGTTAGCCGTAACTTTAAAGTTTGATAAAAATTTATTTTTGTAAGTTGTACTTTGATAGTGTTTTTATGCTATTTGACTTTTAAAAAAATATGTTTTTATTGATTTTTTTTTAAGATAGAAAGAGAGAAACATTGATGTGAGAGACAAAAATTAATTGGTTGCCTCCTGCACACCCCCTACTGGGGACCAAGCCCCCAATCCGGGCATGTCCCCTGACTGGGAATCGAACCGGGACCTCTCAGTCCATTGGACGATGCTCAATCCACTAAACATACCAGACAGGCACTGCTAGACTTCTTAAATGTTAATTAGACACCACTAATTTCATAACTCACTAGTGGACTGCAGTTTGAAAAACATAGCTTCAGAAGATAAATGGCTCTATTCACATACAACTAAGATATTTTTAAAAGCTATCTTGACTACCCTGACCAGTCTGACTCAGCTGTTGGCATGTTGGCCGCGGACCAAAGAGTCATGGGTTCGATTCCATTTAAGGGCATGTACCTCGGTTGCAGTTTGGTCCCCGGCCCTGGTCGGGGTTGTGTGGGTGGCAACCAATCAATGTGTCTCTCTTACATTGATGTTTCTCTCTCTCTCTCTCTCTCTCTCTCTCTCTCTCTCTCTGCCTGAAGATAAATGGAAAAATATCCTCGGGTGAGGATTTTTTTAAAAAAAAGCTATCTTGACTCAATTTAAAAACTATATATATATACACACACACACAGACACATACACATATATATTTGAAATGTTGAAATGAAGTTGGTAATATTTTTGTCTTAAAACTAAATGATTTAAGATCTTTACAAAAAAGCTTAGACATTTAAAGTAAAAGTCTCTAGCCTAAGAACAAAAGGTCTTAAAGTCTTTCAGTGACAAACAAGAGTCCTTGTGAAATACAATATTTTCCCCTTCCGGTAATGTTAGAGATATGCAGAGGCAGATTTAGGAAAAGAGGTTACATTAAAAACAGTGGGATATTTTCTCTCTTTAAAAAATTAAGGACAAATATGGAATACTATCAAAAAAGCAGTTCAGTAGAATCTGAGGGATGATATTCTACCTAGACGACCAGCTTAAAAAGACTATTAATTTTTATAACATTTCTTTCCTCTGTGACATAGATAAAATGCCACCTTCAACTGGACCTACTAGTTCTATATATCCCACCTGTAAACTTCTATTGGTCTACAGTGACTAAAGTTCCTCAAACAAAATTCAAATATGGTCTGCTCTATAACATTCTATAGAAAATATGGTACCCAAGAGATTCAGGTGTCATCTGCAGCTTCGAAAATTGCTTAATAAAGTCAACTCTAATTTTACCAGATAAAAATGTGATCTAGAAAAAAATTTGAAAACCATTACTTTAAGAAAAACTATTAGATTCCAACAATTAGAATAATTAAATAGAACTTATAATACTAATGATGGTGAATATAGACTATTACTAATATAATAAATCAAATTTCAAGTAACATTATATACAAGTCCATGTAATAAATGATACACTCTTCATGCGTAACTGTAAAAAGCACTGATAATCTATTGAAATATTCTGAGTACTTAAACTATTAAAAAGTACATAGATCATGATTCTCACCTGTTGCCATTTCTGCTGGAGGTATGTATCTTTGACTGAATACAGATACTTGTTCATTTGGTCAAGAACTCCCTGATAATAGACCATCGCGGAGTCATAGTTTCCCAGCAATGCATATTCACGAGCCAATTTTACATTCTCACTAATCATAAGAAGACTCATGCTCAATTGTAAACTAAAAAAAATGAAAGAAAGAAACATTTCATATTATCTTAAAAATAAGTAATGCAAAGAGTTTTTTTAAGTACTTTCTAGGGCACCCTCCAGAAGCTCACAAGCACATATGCACTGCATTTTCCATCTCTATACATTTGCTCATGCTATTTCTAATCCTTCAGAGGAATTCTTTTCTTTTAAATCCTCACCTGAGGAGAGATATATATATCTTCAGATAGAGTGGGAGGGAGAGAAACATTTATGTGAGAGAGACACAATTACTGGTTGCCACCCGCAAGACCTGGACCAGGGCCGGGGACAAACTGCAACCAAGGTACATGCCTTTGGCTGGAATCAAACCTGCAACTCATTGGTAAGCTGGCCAACGCTCTACAACTGAGCCAAACCGGCCAGAGCAAAAGAATTCTTTAGTTCCTAAAGCCAAACCCTACCTATGTGTCAAAGCCCAGCTGAGACGACAGTTGTTCCATCATGTCTCACTCTGAACTTCTTGGTTCAGAATAAACTCTCCCCTTTCTAAGGCCCCCTGCCACTTTACTGGGACCTATCATCTCAAGGCTCTTGTCTACTTTGAATTATAGTTACTGATATATCTTATCTCTACTAGACTAAGTTCTTCGGGAGTAGGATTTGCATCTGAATGGTGTGAGACTGTATCCTCAGTGTATAGCACATATGTCTCACTGAATATTTGCAGAACAAACGTAGAATGTCAGATACAGTTTTTGGAAGGCAATGTAGAACAGCAGGAAGCACGTGCATTTTGAAGTTAGAAAAATCTTGGTTCGAATTCGAATTCTGCCACCTTGGTCAAGCCCCTTAACTTCCTAAGATTCAGTTTTTATATCTGTTAAACGGAGACAATAACTACTTTTAAGAGTTCCAATGTAAGGAATAAATGACCATTTCAAGTACCTAGCATATTATTTGGCAAAGAGTAGATCTTCAATAAGTACTAAATGCATCTTCCCTGAAACTTCCTATATATGAGAACCAAACACAGTCTTTGTACTTAGTAGGATATGGATATATAGATATGGCTATAAAGCATTAGAAAGAGACATCTGATAAATGTCAGCTTTGTTGATGTTGACGATAATTATTACTATTTATTAACTGTACACAGCACTGTGAAATTCAAAGTCAAGAAGAGCTGAGTGCTTTTGAGAATGCAATGATTTAGTAGAGGGTTGTGGCTTTGGAAATGAAAAGAAACAAATTGGTGAAAGAACTGTTGAAAGTACTTATGAATCTGTGTGAAGATGTAAATGAATGAAGTTTCAAGCACAGGAACTAAAAGTATAAGAATTGCCCTGGCTGGTTTGGCTCAATGATTAGAGCATCAGCCTGCAGACCAATGGGTCACAGATTGAATTTCCAGTCAAGGGCACACACCTGGGTTGCAGGTTGGATCCATGGCCCTGATCAGGGTCATGCAGGAGGTAACCACTCGATGTGTCTCTCTCACATAGATGTTACCCTTCCTCTCTCTCCCCTCCTCCCCTTCTACTCTGTCTAAAAACCAATAGAAAAATATCCTCGAGTGAGGATGAACAAAAATAAATAATAAAAAACTCCAGGCCTACCTTCTAAGTAGAAAAGAAAATAATTTCAATCACATAAAAGTTAATCTGAGAGAGAGAGAGAGAGAGAAACTTTTTTTTCTGAGGCTGGGATCACCTGAATTTCAAAATTTCAAAACTGAGTAAGAATACAAACCCCATTTCAATTATGTACATGGATATGGAAATCCTAAATAAAATGTTAGCTAACTAACAGTGTCAACTAACTAACTAACTAACTAACTAACTAACTAACTAACTAACTCTCTCCCTCTCTCTCCTCTCTCTTCTCTTCCTCCCTCCCCCCTCCTCTCTCTCTCCATCCCTCCCCCTCTCCCTACCACTCTCCCTCTCCATGATCAGGAAGGTTTATCCTAGGAATAAAATAACTTAAGATCAGAAAATCCATCCTTACAATTCCTCACACTAATGTAAAGGGACTTCACACAAGAATGGGTAGATAGCATTAAGGACAATTCACAAAAGGGAAAACTCAAACTGGCTAAAAAGAATAGATACTAGTAACAGATGAATGCAAATAAGAGCAATAAGACACCCCTATTACATTTACCAGATTTTAAAAAGCATTAATAAATTCAATAATATTAAGTATTGCCAAGGATTTGGGAAAAAGAAAACCCTCACATACAATTTGTGGGTATAGCTGATATAGTCATTTTGGAGAGCAATCTGGCAGTACTAAGGGGAACTATGTATGCATACATCCTATGGCCCTGCAATCCCACTCTTCTGTAAATATATCAGAGAGAAAGTCTCACACAGATCCAGAAAGGGATATGTTTGGGATGTAAATGACATAAACTTTTGGGAAATCAAGGAGTTGGAAGCAACCTACCTAGGGAAATGGATACAAAAATGTGGTGGATGTATACAATGGAATACCATGTAGCAGATGGAAGCAAAATTTACAAATAGCATCATGGATAGATCATCAAAATACAAGGTAGGGCAAAAAAAAAAAAAAATCTTACACATAAAACAAGCTCTAAATCCCAACATCATTTTGTAAATTAAAATAAGCTACATTTGCCCTGTCCAGGTGGCTCAGTTGGGTGGAGAGTCATCCCATACACCAAAGGGTTGCAGGTTCGATTCCCGGTCAGGGCACACACCTGAGCTGAATGTCTGATCCCAAGTCAGGGTGCATAGGGTCAGAGCGAGAACAGGAGGCAGCCCATTGATGTTTCTCTCTCTCTCTCTCTCTCTCTCTCTTCCTCTCTCTTAAATCAATAAACATATCCTCGGGTGAGGATTAAAAAATATGCTATATTTACTTACATATGCTATATAAAACACTCCTTTTTAAAGGACACATATACATCTGAGAATATACGTATTAAGTATACTGCAGTGTCTATGGAGGAGGATTAAGATAGGGAATTATGTGTGGAGAAAGGGGATGAAGGGTAGGAGAGAAACAATAAAAATTAATACAATAGCCGGGATGGTGTGGCTCAGTGTTTAAGCGTTGGCTCATGCATCAAGAGGTCACCAGTTCGATTCCTGGTCAGGGCACATGCCCAGGTTGTGGTCCAAATCCCCAGTGGGGGGCATGCAGGAGGCAGCCACTCGATGTTCTCTCTCATTGATATTTCTATCTCTCTCTCCTTCTCCCCTCCTCTCTCTCTAAAATCAATAAAGAAAAAACAATTTTTTTAATTAATACAACAAAAGAAGAGATGCATAACCATCAATAATCACAGAGAGCCTCTGAAATGGCTTGCAAAGACCTCTGTTTCCCAGTATCCATACCCATGTGTAATCACCTCCCCTTGAATGTGAGCTTGTAAAAAACAGAATACACAAAATTAACAGAATGTGATTTCTGAGATTAGACTGTGATTTCCATCTTGCTCCTTGTCTCTTGCTGGACCACTCTAATGGAAACCAGCTACCATGTTGAGAGCTGCCGAGTGTAGAGGCTCATATGGCAAAGAACTGAGGGAAGGCCGCAGGCCATCAGTCAGTGAGGAACTGAGGCCCTCATTCCAATAGCCCAGAGAAACGGAATCGGGCCAAGTACTCTGTGTGGGGAACCTGGAAATGGATCTTTCCTCAGTTGAGCCTTGAGATGACTGCAGCCCCGATACCTTGATTACAGCCTGTGAAAGACCCTTTATCAGAAGTACCCAGGTAAGCTAGACCTGAACCTGACCAAAAAAACTACGAGTAATAAATGTTTGTTGTTTTAAATCCCTTAAGTTTTAGGGTAATTTGCTATGAAGCAATACAACTATGAACTGAGGTATATAAGTAACTCAAGGCTGGGCATCTCAGATCCAAAAGAAAAAAAAATCCCATACCTAAATAATAACTCTCTGGAGTCACTTTGATAATATTCTATTATAATAAAAGCTTCATGATCAGGGATCATGGCTCTCTGTTACTTACTGAATATATGCAGCTCCCAGAACCATGCTTGGCACACATCAGATACTCAATTAACTTTTAAATGAATGAACAGTGCCAAGTTTTTGTCTTAACTACTAAGATTTCTTACCTTTGTCCAGTTCCTTATCCTCAGTACTCACATTCCTTGATCCTCAACTCATCGCTACCAGAGCTGTGTGATTGCCTCTGCTCTGAAACTACATGCTGTACAGCGACACCTAGTCTAGGCAATAGTGTAGACTTTCTCCTGATATTTCTTCCCTTACCCCACTTTTAAAAAATCTAAATTAAACTGTTACTTATATATGAGTGACCCTCTTTTTTCTGAGGGCCATGAGTTAATGGCCTAAAACGCCAGAAGTCACTTCAGGCCTCCTTTGAAGGTTCTCTGTGTTATGAATACTTTCTAGTCAGATAAAAGTTCTTGCTCTGGCCGGTTTGGCTCAGCAGTTAGAGCGTCGGCCTGTGGACCAGAGAGGCCCGGGTTTGGTTCCTGCTAAGGGCACATACCTTGGTTGCGTTTTGTCCCCTGCCCTTGTTTGGGTCGTGTGGGTAGCAACAAGTTGATGTGTCTCTCTCATATCAATGTTTCTCTCTCCTTCCCCCCTCTCTCCCTCCAGCTTTATCTGAAGATAAATGAAAAAAAAAAAAAAAAAATGTCCTTGGTGAAGATAAAATAAAAGTCCTTAGGTGCCAATGAATTAACTCTTTCTAACAAACAAAAATGTAAAGTCACTCCAAGGCCACATTAATAAATAACCTGAAAAATTCTTGGTTATCAAAGAAACAACATATTTACTGAAAACAGTATCAAAATACCCTTCCTTGACTAAATTTTAGAAAAAAATTATTTTTTCCTGTTCTTTTAGTAGTCTCTAAGCCAGACTCGTTCTTCTCAAATGAATGTCAGCTCTATAAATTTATGAGAGTCTCCAACTTTCAAGAATATATCCTATCATTACTAAAAGTGTACTGCAGGAGGACAGAAACTGGGTCTACTCAGCACAACATCTGGCAATATTTA